TAGACGCAAATATCGACGTGTGTCGGTCACAGAAGCACCCCATATAGTACAGAGCCCTGACAACCAGGCCATCGTTTAAAATAATAAAACACCGTTAAGTTACAGTTTTGGTTAAAAGTCTTGATTGCCATGGAGGTTATTGTCGTAACTAACAGTGAAGCCGCAACAATTTTACGTAATAGGATAAATGAGCCGACTGTTAGACTAATCGCATGAATTTCGAAGACACTGTCAATTGCTAAAATAGGATGGTATTGGTCAGGTTTCACCGTTTCCTTTGATAAATTTACAGTCAAATCATTGACCTTAAAAATTAATTAATAATAATAAAAGCCTTCGATTTCAGTTACACTTAAATACATTCATATTTCTACCATGTCATTAGTTTTAGATATCTGTGTGTCCTTTGTTTATTTATACGTTCTAAAATGTGTATGCCTATAAAACACAAGAAAATATGACATCACAAATTTAACACACATACACATCAATTACATTAGAACATAATCAATCTATCAATGGAAAAAAATTAACAAAAAAAAATACGAAATAATAATAACAAAAAATTAAAAATTTATAATAACTTAAACTAAAAATATAATTAAATGAAAACTTAACTGCAGACCGTAACATTCGTGTACATTTCGATTTCACCAAATTGTGCTTTTTAATAATTCTGCATAAAGCCGTGCTTTTTATATTTTACTAACTGCAGATGTTTGATATATAAAGATTGTTGCAGTACTAATATCGCTATTAAAATATGGGATCGTAGAAGGTTGAAAGTTAATAAAAATACATACAAATTTTAAATAAATACCTAAACATATAAACGTTGGGGTGGGCCAATACTTTTAGTTGTTTTCGTTTAAAACCTTGATAAGAATGTGGGTTATCTGTGGGAGTAAAAAGGGTCTGATAATTATATTAAAAGAAACTTGATTTAAAAGCCTTATCAAATTTCTTTTTTATGCATCATTCAGTACTGATTAGAAATATTATATAATACTAGCTGGCCTGGCGAACATCGTACCGCCTAACAGTCGATTCTTTATTTTTTTTTTAATACTTATTCTCCTATTCGGGTCACCGGTCTAGTTAGTAAGATAAAAAAAGAAAGTTGATAAGACAACAAATACATTATGTCAAAAAATAAAAATTTACCTTCCTGGAACCCCTCCACTAACACTTGAACTTTATGATATGGTATTAAAGTTCAAATTGACTTTTAAGTATTATTACGAATATTTTGTATGGCAATATAGAAAAGTGTTGTTTTTAGATTTTTTCTCTCCGTAAGAACCATCCTCGTACTTCAAGGAATATTATAAAAAAAGAATTGGCCAAATTGGTCCAGGCGTTGTTGAGTTATGCGATTACCAACACATTTTGCGATTCATTTTTATATTATAGATTATAATTGTGAGGTTAAGTTTAATCTCGGTGTTGTTTATTAAATACTATTGGTGTCTTGGCATCTCATAGTTAGACATTTTAAATTTTTGGAAATTACTTAGGGGTAATGTAGCATTCTAATGGTGAAAGAATTTTTAAAATCTATATGTTATATCTTTTTTTGGTTTAGAACAGGGGGAAATAGACGCTCAGTTGTAGGCCCCCCCGGCGCCTTCTGCCTCGACGTTCGATGATCGTCGCTGAAACTCAGCTGCAGGTATTAATCCGAACAACTCCTCTGAACACTCTCCATGGTAAATGCGGTAAAAATGCAGAGAGAACCCATCTCTACGCAGCGCCAAGGGATCAATGTTCTCGGAAAGATATTGGTGTCGATGATTCGAACTACTCTTTGATCCATACGGTCAAGTAGAAGGAGCTGACCCTTGGGAGCTTCCACCCAGAGGTGAGAACAGTGCTTCATGTGGGGCCAGCTTTATGCGCAAGCGATATCCCGGAGAAAGATTCAGATTTTAGCGGATTGATTATTAATAACTTATTAGTTTAATTACTTGGCGTTAGCTTGACAGCAATAAAGCTTTTAAAATTAAATTTCCCAGTTCGGTAAATGGTTTTTTTGAGAAAACTCAGAAGCCTGCTTGTAATAAACATTTACAGTCATTAAAAAAATCTCGTGTGGCTTCCATTCATGGAAAAAAGTCTTCATATAACTACGGAATGAACACGGGTTGTCGTAAATATTTTATGAATAATAGAATAATGTTAATAAAAAATACTATTAACATCAGTTGTCTGAGACAAAAAAGAATTATTCAACTTAACAAAAGTTTTTTTTTAATAAGTATTTGAATTTGTATGGGTTTTGCTTAATTATCATATTATTACAAGCAAAAAATAGATAACTGACGCGTATAATTACTTTTGTCACGGTCACAGGTCAACAGATAATATTTCAAAACGTTTTGTTAATATAAGATTATGGATAAAAATTGCTTTTTTCATTAGGTAATTCGATATTCGTAAATTAACATTCTTAATTTTATATGATTTTTTTTATGTAATAGGAGGAAAACGGGCAAGAAAGATCGCAAGTGCGTTGGGGCCTTTTAAGAATTGGTACCTAGGGCCCTAAGTCGAATCGGTTTGGAAATACCTTTCGTGGGCAGCTGGTTCCACATAGTGGTGGTGCGCGGCAAAAACTGCCTGAAACGCTCAGTTGTGGAACGATGAACGTTGAGGCGATACGGATGGTATTTTGTATTCTGGCTTGACGTCTGATGATGAAACTCAGCTGCAGGTATTAATCCGAAAAACTCCTCTGTACATATTAGTGATATTTGTTATCATGCATGTAGCATGATGTGTACTGGGTTCGTTTACCAGAAAAATAATTGATTCGGCTTGCTCACACCTTCAGAAATTAAATTAAATTTTGTTTAACACAAATAATAATAGACCGTGACAACCGAGTCAGTTAAAAGAGTTGGCCTAGAGGCGTGCCGCCGTGAGCGCCAACCCCGTTCAAATGACGTGTGCTCCAATGGACTTTGACAGGCACAGTTGGCTGATCACATACTTGACTATTAGGTATTAAGAAAAATGAATTATCACAAAAAGAGATACCTGAAGCCTAGACGTGGTTGTGACGTTACTGGCTTTTTATGACAAGCGAGATTTTTATGCTGCATTTTCGTTAAGTAGTATGTCATTGTAATATCGGTGTTATAGCACTAAGTCACGACTTAGAACTAGAAATTTCGTCAACAATATAAATTTAAAAAAAATGCCTTCTCATTTATTCATTTAGAATACTTCCTGTTTATAATATTAATATATAACATTCTCTTATCTCCAGCGGCTGAGGCAAACTATGATTCAATGTTCAAGAGATAAAATAATAAATCGTTAGATTGCAACAAAGAAATAGTTACAATGGAGTTTATGAAATAGGGAAAAATCTTGAATAAATTAACAAGACCAGACTGTAGAAAATATTTAGCACGTCACAAAAAATACGAAAACTTTTCTGTATATCATAATAACTGAGTTAAAAAAACTACATTACTGTGTTTATTTATACCTTTCCGAAAAGTTTTTTTTTTGTTTTTACGTATATATACAGAGAGAAATCATTATCGTTATATAAGGGCAGAGTATCATGCAAATTCGAATGTGAGTGGGCCGTTTTATCTGTATCAAATACTGTTGTCAATTATTTATGTTCAACCCGTGAATTTGTTAAGCCGAATGCCGTGGTTTTTTATTTCAGCCTCAATATCTTTCAGACTAACGACGTACTTTACATTTTTTTATAAGAACTAACATTAATATGAATGTATATAAAGAAAATACCAATAAAATCATTACAAATTTATTATCGAGGTACCTGTTGCATTCTATAATCTACATGTATTATCATAACGGAACTAAATAACAATAATCATGTATTTCTATGTTTTCATAAAGATATATATAGGAATACTCAGATATAAAACTATTATCAAATTGATAACAATCGATAATGCTTACGTGCATATGTATTTAAATTTTATGCACGTAAGTCTATACAATTAACAAATTTATCAATATATAATAACTTCAAGGCCGAACACTGATGAAAATAGCAATTTGAACAAAACGCGTCTAAAAATACCCTTTCTCGTGTTTTTTTTACTTTTATACCTAATTTCATAATATTAACTTACATCAATTAATAATCAAGTAATTCATACATATCAGAGAGCTCATAGCGAACAAAGCGAATACTCGTAATAAAAACAACGACATTCCTTTAGTGATAAGAATATACCTACTGATTTTATTAATGCATATGTACTTAATATTTACACTTAAATAGGATTATATACAGGACTTATAATCATTTACACATTTCCAAGACCCTGTGTCTTTCAATAGCGGTTCAAAATTGAATTTTTCACCCAGTTTCGATTTGACTTTAATATCCGTAACGCTGATGGCACAAATTTCAAATTGATCCGAAAAGTCAATTTTGAAGTCGTGCTGACTCAACCCATTGTAAGTTACAAAGCATCGACGCAGGTACTACGGATGTTAAACAAAAAACGAAACGATGCATTTCGGTTGTGATTGGTTGAAAAGTGTTGTAGGTCTGCGATCGGAGTTCAGAGAGTGTTGACCGGCCATAAGGAAGTGAAACAATAGCTTGTTTTTATTTTACATTCTTACGTATTGCTTCCTTAATCATACAAATAAACACTGAGTTTTATATATGCCATTAAATTTTCCTTTACAAAGGCTAAGGCCAATGTCACCGAAGCTCATGGACAGTCACTTGTTTTTATGGTAATGATAAACCTTCACATATTATTCAACCTCCAATAACTTACGAAACATTATTTCGCTTTGTACATACAAATTGACATTTTAAAATTCAATATCTTAAATTATAATTTAGAAACCGGTACCTAATTCACATTTTTTGATAACGCCTATCTTATCTGAACCTACAAAAATCAGTAGTAGAACATAATTACTTTATAACATTCAACACAATGTCTTTAAATCTGTATCACAATTTTTACTCATTAACCTAAAACATAATCTCAACTATCATCAATCGGCTTTTCTTTTTCATTATTTTTACCATTTAATTCTACTGCTTCTGGTATGCCATGACCTTCATCTTTCTTTACGTACCCTGCAGGGCCAACTAAAGACAAAACCACAGGTAAAAACAAAAGCCCACTATACAAACCGAAGAGTATTACTAAAAGGAAAATTTTAAAGAACGATTGAAACGTGTACGCTTTGGACATACTTAAAAGAGATAGAGAAAGTAAAGTGGAACCCCCACCCAGTAAGACAGCGGTTCCTATCGATGTGACCGTTTTGAAGGCTCTTTCATTGCGACTGCCTTGAGTGAATGTTAAGAATGAATGGCCCACGTGGGCCGCGTAGTCAACACACAACCCTATCGCAAGTTCAAGACCAATACAGCAAACAATGTCAACAGTCATACCCCAGCGTTGCATGCAACCTAACACGTTAATAATAGTGAGTAACACGCAAATAAATATCCATAGACACATTTGAAGGTTTGTTATTAATATAACAGTGCATATCATCACACATATTAATGCTAATTCGATATTTCTTTCTACTTCGACGGCGATGATCTCATCTGTGACCCAATTAGCAAAAGCCTTTGACCAGACGGAACGATAACCATCTCCACTTGTTATATTTGTATTTTTTACAATTCTCTTAACCATATTCATAGCGGGTATATACTCTTCTGGGCCACCGAACTTTGTAAAACTGAATGACATTGAAGAAGCGTTAATTTCAGTCACAGGATAGCCGCAACGGAGTGGTTCTGAAAATTTAAAACTATACTGGAACTGGCCACCTACAGGGCTGAATAGAAACCTTGATAAATATTTATTAAATTTTTCCTGCGTCAGAGAAGACGAATTTTTTAAATCGTGATCGTAGTTTTGTAAGACATAGCCGTGGAAATGTTCCACCCATGCTACTGTGTCAGTGACATATGTTTGATTACGTAATTCTTGTACCATATTATAAATATTATCAAATTCAGAACTATAATTCATTTTACCCATAAAAATCATAGCAGGATTACCTTCTTCTGGATAGTAAATTGCATGCGCGTTGATAAAGTCTTTGTAATAAGTATCTTCGGGTATGAACCATCTGGGGTCAAACCTTTGTTCCAACTTTAAAATTGCTTCGATACTAATTCCGGACATGATAATTGAGAACAATATAACAATAGACTTGCCAGCTTTAGTAAATACGACATTTTTGTAAAAACTCTCCAAACCCTTTTGAAAGATTGTTTTCTCCGTAGAAATGGTAATTTCCTTTTTGTGTCTATAGCAAAAAAGAACACCGTTCCTCTTCGATTCAATTCTTTTAAGATCTAATGTAAAAACTGCTACATAAAACGTAACAGAATAACAAAATACGAAGAACACACCCATTGCTGCATACATGCAAAACGATTTTAGTGATGGCAATATGGTTATTGCTCCAATTAATAAAGCAACTATGTCGGTAAATGATGTTATTACAATCGACACGCCTGCGTGTTTTAACATGAGTCCTATTTTGACTGGTACACTTTTGTGCGAATCATGGGCCATAACGATTTTCCAACAGGCGTTCATAACAAACATATCGTCTACTCCCAGTCCCATTAGAAGAAAAGGTAAAGATGAATGAACGGGACCAAAAGAAATGCCTAGGATTGAGCACCAACCCACCGCACTGACATATGACATGCCTACTCCCAACAACCCCACGCTTCCTAAAGTCACTTTTATTTCTAACCAATTACATCGAGATACCGCTATTAATATATAAAAAAACATCATAATTATACCTAAAGCCAGTTTGTCCATCTCTTGAAACATTGCTTCACCACTAACATCTGCAAAACTTCGCCCTGCTTCATAAAATAAACGAATACCTTTACTGCCATAATCAACACTCTTTATGTAGTTTAAAAAATGTTGTTCCCATAAAGCTAATTCCAAAGACACCCAGTCTTCTGTGCCCATGAGATTACCGACTTCATCTAAATTCACCGCTGTCATGTTAACATTCATATACCAACTAATTAACACAGATTTTGCAGACACAATCTTACCACTCTTGTCACGTTTAACACCGCCTAACATTTTCACAAAGTCTGTTGGATGACCAGATACAGGGTTCAATTTTACTTTATTTATCTTCTCAATAATCTCATGCTCTGAAGCGTTTCTTATCAAGTCAGGGTCGTTTCTCCATAAATCTAAGATGTTATACTTCAAACATGTTAGTTGAAATGCCTCCAAGAAACCACAATAAAATTCGTCGTCAACCCACAAAGTGTTATCCACGTAGTTTATCTTACTTGGCTCTTTTGTGTTTGAAGCTTCGTCCTCAGATCTAGATTTTCCACTTGAATCAAAAATATTAACAATTGGTACTTTGAAGCACAGTTCCTTCACTGAATAAGTTTTATCGTTGTGTTGAATTGCAATCGAATTGACTTCATTTGTAATGTTTTTAATCATCATTAAGACTTCAGGGTCAAGAACATTATCCGCCGTTACTAAAATTTTCTGAAGACGATAGTTAGTACCAAAATTATCTATATACCAGTTCGTGTCTTGATAAAAATCTGATTCGGGCGGGACCCATAACTTCATAGGATTCTTTTCTATGTAAAATCTTAACAGGCCCGTGCAGCTCACTAACACTAAGGTCCACGATACAGCAATAGTCCGCCATGGATGCCTGCCAACTAGAACTCCCAAATTGAAGAATATAGTCTCGACGAAGTTAACAAATACAGAAGATAAACTTTCCCATAGTTGTTGCGGAGACTTAATTTTCTTCTTACTAGGCATAGGTATATTTGTTTGTCACTCCCCGAAAATAGTCAGTGGATTTTATCACACGCTATTCGAAAGCGTGAAACGCGGACGATTTAAATACATTTACAGTTTGATAAACGCGTGTACAGATGAATAGTTCGCTGTTCTGTAAGAGCATTACGATGAAACGCTGAACTATGAGACGTCCGATTACCAGCGCGACCCAGACGATACTGGCGGCCAAAGCGGCAAAGCGTGGCAAAGTGCCATTATCACTACGATTAAAACACTGTCGTAGCGTAATACGGATTATATTATTGCAAAGATAATATTTCTTTAACTGCAGCATGAATTTACGTTTTGACATATCATTAATGACAATGCTTTTAAGGTATAACGTACGGAACGGAAATAACAATTGGGTCAGTTTATGTTTATCTGATCTTATGTACGTACTCAGTGGCACCAAACAGTTTATGTTGTTTAGCTAACCGATTTATAAATTATTCTACGTTCATAAAATGGTATTGCGACATTATATATAATAATTAATTTATTTCTCAGAAAATTACAAGACCATTGTTTAATTCTGTAAGAATTTAAGCGTTATTTAATAGAAAAATAAATTTTGTAGCTCCGTTGCGCGGTGCATATAATATAATCTTAATAGTATAGAATGCGTGCATGTTACCCTATTTATTTACCAAGCTCCGATATGGGATTTATGAATGCAGTTCGGTCAATAGTTTTTTCTCACTTCAGATAACATCTTTATATATAAAATCTTGTGTCACAATGTTCGTTCCCATACTCCTTCGAAACGGCTCGACCGATTCTTATTTTTTAATTTTTTTATGTATATTCAGTAAGTCTGAGAATCGGCTACTATCTTACTTTCTTACCCCTAACTGTTAAGGGTGGTCAACCCCCTTAATTTTTATTTTTTAGATAAAACTTTTTTATTCTTTTATGATACAACATACAAAAATACATACAACACTTAATTTTCACCCCTCTACGATCAACCCCTATTTTTTATTTGTTAGTTAAAATCTTCTGACTAGAACTCTGACCTTCATATATGGAGAAAAATTCACAGAAAAACCTTAAGTTTTCATTCCAGAAAACCGAAGTCTCTGGGGTAGCATAGCAAAATGTTTCATATTGGTATGTATTAAAAAGGTAGGCTAAGTAAAATCAAATTAAGGAGAAACGAAGTTCGCGGGGGCAGCTAGCAATGTTATAAAATTAAGAATTCCTCAATCGATCAAGAATCTTTCAAAAATTTCATATTGTTATAAATTGTTGATCGAATAAACATCTGTTGGATGAATAACGGATTCCTTGGGCACATTCACCTTTTAGGGATGTACAAAAATGATAAGGAGGCCTTCCATACTCCTTAATTTATCATTAAGAGGCAATTTATTTAAAGAGAATGGCCATTGATATATAGTACTTTTATTTAATAATTGTATAATGTTTATTATTATTATTACCGAAATCAACTCGCATGCGTCTACGGCCTATTATTGGGGCTCCCCTGCACCACAATATATTAAGACTGTGCGTACGTATTTATTGATATACCATACATACACAATTACCTAAATGATACAAATGTAACTCTTTGTGCATCGAAGGGACTAACGAGTAACGATAAAAAAAGAAACAAACACAAAACATTAAAAACGGTAACCAAAGAGCCTAATACGATAATAGACACCCTAAATTACGCACTTACCCTCACTTTTTCACCATCACACAACACAGAGCAATTAGGTATTACTTAGTTGAATGTATTGAATAATTTTTATTTGTTTGTTTCCTTTTGTAAATTTTTAAACCTTTTTTGTATTATGTATTCCAGAGTTCCCCAAACTTTTTTGTGTCGTAGACCCCTTGCCATGTTTTTCCGTGTTGGGTAGACCCCCTACTTACCTGATATTGATTTCCTGTAAAATTTCTAACTGTAGTGAAGTTTAGTGTTAAAAGCTTAAAGTAACAAATTGGGGAACTGAGAAAATTCGCCCCGTCTAATATTTTGCTTCATTAGTTTAACTCTGGCAAGAAACGCTGATAAGATGAACTTTGTTTTAGTCAAATTTAAACTGTCGCCTTGTAATTGCAAATTAACCATATTAAATTTTGTTAACAAATCTGTTAAATAGGCGATGTCTGTTTTCCTCTATCAGTGTATGTATTGAGATCCACTATCGTGGACCCCCATTTTCATGTCATGGACCCCCAAATTTTATTTCGCTGACGTAGACCCCTTGCAGGTTGTCATTGACCCCTAGGGGTCGATATAGACCACTTTGGGAATCACTGATGTATTCCATCTCTGGCTATTTTGAGAGTAACTGTTTTTGTTATTATATATAATTTATGTTAGCTGTAGGATTACGAAATAAATAAAATACAAATTAGTTATGCTTTCAAGGGGAATGAGACTAAATATTTACAGGCAAGGTAAAGTGCCTCTATAGCGTGGGACAGAATTTAGTTTTGACAACAATTATAAATAACTGCCTATTTGTATGGCTGATTTTGCGTTTTTTTTTATAATTAATCAATCTGATTAGGTTAGATTAGATACTTTGCAAATATACGAATTATTATTATTATTTTTCTTGTTCACATACGCTACTACATCGACTGTCCATAAAAAGGGTTTTAAATTTAGTACTTATCTTTTTATTTTTGAATACTAATAGAATTTCTATAGTCCATAGATATTATAAAAAATCATAATATATGAGCGTATCACGTTTAAAAAAACTTCATCAAAATTCTACGCGAACGATGTAATAAGCATTACTCAGAGTGTTACTTGGCCTATATACGTAACACAGAGGAGGCCATAAATAAAGATCCCAAAAAATTCTGGAAATACCTCAGTGAAAGACGGAAAAATTCAAATGCGTTGCCATCGCTCATGAAACATGACAGTGGGACTGGCTCAACGGGCAATGAAATAGTAAATTTGTTCGCCACACACTTTTCATCGACTTTCAATAACGATGTCTACGAACTGAATAATAGTACTACCTCTGCTTATACCCATCCTGATTATATCATGGCTAACCTATTATTAAGCAAAATAGTTTTCCAAGAGGCAACCATACTAAAGGCTTTAAAAAAACTGGATCATACAAAGGGCGCTGGGCCAGACGGTCTACCACCCCTTTTCGTGAAGAGGTGTGCTGCCGAGCTCGCTTTCCCTCTTACTCTTATTTTTAATTCTTCCCTGGACAAAGGAATATTTCCTACTATTTGGAAAGAAGCACGTATTATCCCAGTATATAAGAAGGGTGAAAGGGAAAGCGTAAAAAACTACCGACCTATCTCGATTCTGAGCACGTTTTCAAAATTGTTTGAGTCAGTTATATGTGAAATTCTCACTTATCACGTTAAACCTATGATAAGTGTGAGACAGCATGGTTTCCAGCGCGGCAGATCTGTGTCTACGAACCTGGTTCCTTATGTCACAACTCTCATGGAGCATGTTGATAAGCGGATACAAGTAGATGCGATATATACTGATTTTAGTAGCGCCTTGACAAAGTTTGTCACCATATATTATTAAGAAAATTAATTACATTTGGTGTTTGCGGATCCTTACATTCTTGGTTTGCATCGTACCTTAAATTCAGATCATCAACAGTGGTGACAAATGGTTATGCATCAAAACCATGTGTGGCAACTTCAGGCGTGCCTCAGGGCTCTCACCTCGGGCCAATTTTATTTATTTTATTTATAAATGATATAGTAGATCATGTTCATTATAGTGAATGTTCATTGTTTGCCGATGACATGAAATTGTTTAAGACAATAACTTCAACGAATGATATTGCTCTATTGCAAAAGGATTTACTTGCCATACACACTTGGTGTAAAAATAACCTCATGATTTTAAATGCTGGTAAATGCTTTCATATAAAATTTACTAGGAATAAAAACTTATTCCAATCTTCTTACTCAATTAATGGAGTTGCTCTTGAGGAGGTTGATCGTATACGAGACCTTGGTGTGACGCTGGATAGTGCTCTAGTTTTACTCCTCACCACGAAATAATTATAGCGAAATCATTTCAGATGCTCGGTTTCATTAGGCGTAATACCACTGACTTTAAGAATGTTAAAACTCTTATTACTCTGTACAATGCATTGGTGCGAGCCACCTTGAGTACGCTAGTGTTGTGTGGAATCCCACATACCAAACACACAAGTATGCACTAGAACGTCCTCAAAGAACATTCACACGGTTCCTGGCGTACAAAACCCCTAAATTTTGCTACAGAAGGGATTATGTTGATCGATTACAGAAGTTCAATTTGCAAACTCTCGAGGATCGTCGTATGATTGTGGACCTGGTGTTTTTGTACAAGTTGATGCACGGCACGATTATTTGTCCTGATATTTTAAAAAGATTTACTTCGTAGTGCCTAGAATCAACGCAAGAAGAAGACAGACTGATACTTTTGTCGTTCCACAGTCCTTAACCAATCTAGGTAAACATGCGCCCTCAGTAGAATGCTTAGGAATTTTAACCAATGTAGTTGTAGACATAGTCTTGACGTGTATTATGACTCACTTCCTAGTTTTAAGAAGAAAATTCAGTCATCTCAGCCATAAGTCATGTAATATTTACCACGTTTCAATTTATCTATGTTTAAAGATACAAATACTTAAGTAAACTCTGTCCGCTTTCATTTATTAGAGTCAATGTTGTGTACACCTATTATTAGATTGCATGCTAGAATAAAACCCAATATTGTTAATTAGAAAATATATACATGTAATCTGTTGGTGTTCCTTAATAAATAAATAAATAAATCACGTGATTGAAAAAAAAAAATAAGTCAACTTTCCCTGACCTTGAGACTTAAAAACAAAAATAAAAACCAAAACTGTGTCTAAAACATTTATTTGTAAAAAGTTCAACTTAACTATACGATTCATATAAAAAATACGCCTCGTTGTAGAACGAGTGAGTCAAAACTGTAAATCTTATTACTAAATAATTTTAAACGTAAATCTTTTTGGCTATTTTAAAATTTGTTAATAACATAGTAAATATGCATGTATTACCTAAAAAAGCATTCAAAATAACCTATTAAGAGAATAATTACAAAATTATGAACATTATTTAAACATTTCACTTATCAAATCAATCAAATGTCAAATAATAATAGAGTAATGTCAAAAATCAAACGTAAATCAATTAAAAAGGCACATTACTTGTAACTTTTTAAATTATTTCTCCAATAAGTTCGGTAGATACTGAATACAATCGTAAAACTCGCGTAGTACTGAATACAATAAAAATCGAGTCGTTACTAACATACAAAATTTATCATAAAGTCCAGGAAAACAAGCGAACACAGACAAAACATATACGAGTTGTCACACGGAAGTATGAAACTTCAATATCTTAAGCAATAACGTTTAATAGTAACTACAACAGACGGCGTAATCCTAAAGCTTAGGTTTCCTAGAAAAGCGGTGCCGTTAACTAACGGCCGTCATTTTACGGTTGTTAATAACGCCCATCTTTACTTTTTAACATAATGCAAAAAAACATCATTTTCGCTCGTCCAAGTCATGTTTCCACTCATGGTATTAATTGAATATGGGCACCGCTACACGCGAAAAACGTTGAACTAATATTTATCACCGCTATGACGGCCGTAATGCAAATGACAGCACCACTATTTGACGTTACGGTGACACTCAACGTTCTCTAGAAAACCTACTCCGATGTTATTTATAGACAACGTATGGGTGACGTCGTCGGTGACGACGTACATTACGGCCGTTGGATAACGGCACCGCTTTTCTAGGAAACCTAAGCTTAAGACTAAATCAATTCTTAAAGAAATTTAAACTTTTTTTCATAAATGTAAACAATTCTATTTCAAATTCGACAAACACTTTTAATTATTCAATTAAAAGTTTTTTATAAACCCCCGTATTTATAAATGTCTACTCTCTCGTCTCTTTCTGTCAAAAGCATTTACGCTGTGATAAAAAGAGAAAAAAGTAACTTAGTCAAAACCACGCAATTAGACGGACACTTTTCTTAAAAAGGAGAAAAGTCATGACTAAAATAATTCAGTCCCACTTCTTGATTTCTGAAGCAGTTTATCAGCCTTCCGTACTCCTCGATTTTTGGTCATTATTTTTCACAGCGCAAATGTTAATTGCGCACTTAGAGTGGGTGGCACCACGAAGGTGCACGCTGGGGTCCGAACACAGAACCTCGCTGATAATAGCAAGCTAAACTACGCTCTAACTTAAATATAAATTTAAAATTAAAAAAAAAGAAATAGTAACTTTGTTACATACTAAAATCACAAGACACTGTTTTACAAATACAAAATACGTAATTTGTCGTATTCGTTTATAAGAATTTAATTACCTTTTTTTAATCAAAATAACATTTTAGCTGTCCGAATCAGGGATAGACTAATAAGTTAAAATCACGTTCAATTACATATAATAACATTAATTTTAATTACAATAGATTTTTGAAGTGATACTTCTTTATCGAGGTTGGAAAAAAATTTTGTGTAACATTTTTTCGTTACGCGTCACATTTTTCGGTTACGCGCCATGTTGCTTTTTGAAGTCAAACTTCTTTATCGGCGTTGGAATGAAACTTCTTTATCGACGTATGGGAGAAATTTTGTAGCAAATCGTCACGTTTTTCAATGATAGTAATAATTCTATTACAATTAATGAAATTCTATAATAATCTTCGTAGTAATAAGGTAAAATGAAATATTTGTATTCATGTCTATGATAATAAAAGCCTTTTGTTAAACTTTATCTAATTTAACGAATTTCTGTAAAGTTGCATATAGTAGATCATTTTTAGAAAAATAAGATCATAAAGAAGTTTCACTTCTTACGTGTGTACACCTAGTACACGCACAATTTATTATAATTTTTATATTAATTACAATATAAACCGGAGTTGGTAAGAGAATTTTTAAATGCCAATGCGATTTACTAATAAAGTACGACCTGTTGACAATGCAAGAGTATACCATATGTCATTGTGTAAATTGTCAATATCATTTATTTGACATGTATAACCATGAATGCTAAATTTAGTTTATCTGTCATCAGATTGGGTCTGTACTATACGTCACCAAATGAGATCTACGTCACCTCTAGCGGTGAAGAGGACAAATTTCATATAAATGACACAAGCGTATTTTATGGTTGCGTAAGATACTTCGTCAAAGTCATGGTAAAGTTACAGAGGCCTAAGCACGAACTTAAATAACGAGCTTTTCAATCGTATACGTATACGTCAAAACGTTAAACATTAGTTTCTGTACGCATCTATCTTGTGATATTAAAAACGAATCCTATTCTAGCCGAATACTCTTTTATTTAGTTCCAAATATGCCCACGCAGCGCTTCACAAGTTTCAATAAATGCTTCTATTTAAAAGCAATTATTTCATTATGGCTAAGTAATAACTATCGACTGGCCACCTCATTAAAAGACATTGTTGGTTATTTCATGAGGAGTCAAGCCATGATTTTTATCTTTTAATTGAGTATTTTACTCAATCATACGACTTTTGATAATGGCGGCTGCATCCTTCTCGCCCATGTCATCTAATAGTAGAGCCAATGATCGAGATGTGACGTCATCGTTCAGCTCCTGCCAGAAAGAGATATCGAATAGAACGAGATGCATAGCAATTTCACATGAATTGAAAATGTAATTTTCTAAAGGCTAAAAATTTTCGGTATTTTATATAAATGAAATTGTAACCATGGTAATATGGCATTAATAATTCCATTTACTCGTCAAGTATTCGAATATTGAAAATATTTCATAAATTAAAACATTTCCAGCTCATTTAAATAAAGAATGACAAAACGATTAAAAGATATACACAAATTAAAAATGATTGCTCAAATAAAAACTTTAAAATTGTGTGTATCATACATAGTGCTATATCTACAGTATATGCTATCTTTTCTAAAATATACGACAATTTTCGTAAACATAAATGTCAATAAATAATAAAAATATATACGAAATATAATAAAAATACTAGTTATTGTTTTTATTTGTTAAGCAAAAAAAAATACCAGCAAAACAGCGGATTAGGTATGAGATAGCCACATAACAATGCTTTCTTTAAAATTGATCAGCCCACTACCAATATATCCAACTCCGGATATTTATCTAGGTGACATGCAATTACTATGGCGAATACCAATATATTTGGTTTAAAATAACATAATATATGATATTATTGAAATTCACTATTACCTTTATGTTATTAAGTAAAGTTGTGGTGGGACTAGGTGTCGACTCAAAGAACTCCATCATTGCGTCCCGATGCAGGCGTTTGGCTAACTCCCGCCAACCCCCGCTTCTATCCAACATAGCTGCCACTTCATGGACGTACTGCGAAAGGTCGGATAGCTCGCTTGCCTCCTGAAAATTATTGTAAAGTTCAACAAAACAGTAACATCAGATACAGTGGCGGATTTACCAGTAGACCTACGACAGAGGGCGGCAAATATGGGAACCGATTTTTTTGCTACCTCTAGAAATCAAAAAGATTTCTGATGTTTTACAGAACTGCCACAAATTTTCCCAACCCCCCAACCAGTAGTCAACCTCTGCGCCCTCATCTCACACTTTGTATGAGTGAAAAGAGCGAAATTGCAGAAAGTGAATTACCCTCTTAACCCTATCAAACTACTGGATGGTTCGTGTATGATTTGTGCTCAAAAGTCAAACCCAAACATTATTTTACGTGCAACGAAATTGTTGGATTTAAAAAAAAAACTAGGATATGACAATTATAGAGACAAGGGCGGGAAAAACTTCACAGCCTATACCTTGAAAATTTATAAATCCGTCACTAATCAGATATCTGTATTTTTCGTGATCATTTGTTTTTCTTAATCAGCTACGTGGTCAGCCTTTAATGCCTGACACAACGCTGTAAACTTCTTGGGTCTAAGGCCGATTTTCTCACGATGTTTTCCTTCACCGTACGAGCAAGTGTTAATTGCGCACAGCCGGGAATATACGACCTAAGGAATGAGAGTCGCACGCTGAATTCACTGGGACGACACTGCTGGATTGTTAAGTTAGTCTAAACTCTGATTTCATTCTGTAGAACTCTGACATTTCAAATCAATTAAATCAAATCATAATACGTTTATTCAATTTAGATGCTTCTTAGAGCATGCTTATGAATGTCAACAACGTTTACAAAATTCACGAAAGAGCAAGACTACGCCATCATGTGTGCATTTCATAAGTGTTGCTACTAAACAAGTTCTCCACCGAAAAAGGAACAAATTTGACCCATTTGAGGGCAATAAAAAATAAAATGCTTCGAATTTTTAAAGTTTTACCTACAAAAAGTTAAATCTAAATATTTACTTACTCAAGTGACATAATACAAAAATAACAAAAATGTCAATATCACGAACAACATATCGAATTAACTTTAATTACTTTCTTTTATTCTTTAGCTGGCATCACTGCCTACTAATTCCAGGTTTAGTAAACCTTTAAAAAAAAATGTTATCTTTACTTGAGCATTACTGTTTGTGATGAAAAGGGACGTAATTATCACTCGCCGTAAAACCACTTTTAATGTGGGCCATTAAAATGGATACATTCACTAACAAATAAAATGTATGTCAGATGTTCAGACTCTTAATAAAATTGAAAAATGTGCCCACCAAAAAAATTATAGCTGTCAGTGTCAGAATTCTACGGAATTAAAAATCAGAGTATAAGTTAATTAGGGCGGATCCAGACGTTCATGGGGATGATTAAATTGATATAAAACTAAATTAAAAATCCACAATGACCTATTCACGAAAACATACCCCTGTTTAGTTTTAGCATTATTAGAATACGTTAGCAAGTAGGTAATGGACCTTCCAAAACCGAATAATATAATAGTAAAAAACATAGCCCAATATCAGTGTCTTGGGGAGCGTTCAAGTATTACGTAACGTATTTTTTTCCTTTTGTAAAACGTTACGATGCGGGGCGGGGATTAAATTACGCGTTATTGTTAATATTTTTTTCGACTTACACCACATAATAGTAACTAAAGTGTCACTAGGTGGTTACGAAACGTTTAACTATACTTGGGTACAGTACTGTACCTGGGTACTGAATAGCGTTACGGCGAGTTACATGGGGGGGGGGTCAATAATCTCCAAAAATTGCGTTACGTAATACTTGAACGCTCCCTTGCTGAACGAAGACTTCAGGCACAATAGCTAAGGCTATTCTCTCGTATCGTCTATTTAAATACTATTTAAGAAGGACAAAACGCTGTCAACGGTGTATTGCAGTTGGACATGTTGCTCCCGTCAAAGCCCTCGTAAAACGTAAATTAATCAATAAAGCCTTTTATAAATTTGACGAATATTTAAATGATCTTACTCCTTGGGATTGATTCGCTCCAGTTCAAACATTTTGTATGACTCAAAACTTAGCGATTAAAAAGAGTGGCGGGAAGTTTCTTGCCCGCTCTACGCACTTGACTTGCGAACTGGTAACTGGTAAATATAAATTTACAATTAATTTAACTTCCTTTTTGACGTTCATAAGTACTTGTTTACCTATATGAATAAAGTTATTTTGTGTTTGAGATACTCAATTAAACGTAGCTAGAAACTTCTATTGAGAAAATGGAGAGAAGTCTATCTGATTATAATCCGGCCATGCTCACCCCTTCATCAGCTGATTCATAATCCTCCGGTTCCGATTTGATGTCATCCTCGGAACACGTTGCATACTGACGTAACAACTGCATCAGTTCTGGCTTATTCTTCGCCAGTTTGAAGGCCATGGCACCTGACGTATCGCATTTCGTGGGGTCCGCCTAATAAAAAGATATTTAATGGTATAATTAAATTTTATGGACTCATTCTAGTGTAGTAATTAAATAACATCAATCAAATTTAGTAGATTTCTGGCCTCATTCTAGTGTAGTAATTAAATATCCTCAATCAAATTTAGTAGTTTTCAAGCCTCATTCTAGTGTAGTAATTAAATAACCTCAATCAAATTTAATAGTTTTCTGGCCTCATTCTAGTGTAGTAATTAAATAACCTCAATCAAATTTAATAGTTTTCTGGCCTCATTCTAGTGTAGTAATTAAATATCCTCAATCAAATTTAGTAGATTTTGGCCTCATTCTAGTGTAATAATTAAATAACATCAATCAAATTTAGTAGATTTCTGGCTCATTCTAGTGTAGTAATTAAATATCCTCAATCAAATTTAGTAGTTTTCAAGCCTCATTCTAGTGTAGTAATTAAATAACCTCAATCAAATTTAATAGTTTTCTGGCCTCATTCTAGTGTAGTAATTAAATATCCTCAATCAAATTTAGTAGATTTCTGGCCTCATTCTAGTGTAATAATTAAATAACATCAATCAAATTTAGTAGATTTCTGGCCTCATTCTAGTGTAGTAATTAAATATCCTCAATCAAATTTAGTAGTTTTCAAGCCTCATTCTAGTGTAGTAATTAAATAACCTCAATCAAATTTAATAGTTTTCTGGCCTCATTCTAGTGTAGTAATTAAATATCCTCAATCAAATTTAGTAGTTTTCAAGCTTCATTCTAGTGTAGTAATTAAATAACCTCAATCAAATTTAATAGTTTTCTGGCCTCATTCTAGTGTAGTAATTAAATAACATCAATCAAATTTAGTAGATTTCTGGCCTCATTATAGAATTAGTAACTTTATGGCCTCATATCAATTTAGTCGTTTTCTGCCATCATTCTAAAATGCTACTTTTTTGGTATCACTTTATAATAAAGGTCCTGGTGAATTTCATATTTAGTTGTTAGTTTTATAGAAACAAAAACCGAGATATTTTTTTCTTAACGATTGTAATAAGACGACAGAGATTTTATAAAAAGACATAAGAACTGATTTCTAGTCTGTTATCAGCAAATGTGGAGTTGTCAGAATGGTCTTAAATAAAAAAAAACCTATTTTCGGCCTCTATATAGTATATATACATATAATTTGAAAGATTTACTTCGAAAATTTATTACCTTTAAAGCTACTAGCTATAAATCTGGTTTCAAGAATCTTCCGAAATATTTTATTGATTAAAATAGGATAAAAAACGTTGTTTACCTTGTTATCTAACAATGTTTTTGCTATCTGCAGCGAGTGAGGTCCGAGAAGCGAATCGCATACATCTTGAAGCGCCGTGTGACCACGCCCATCTACGGTGTCAATATCGCTCTGAAAATAGTACATTACATATATCATTAAGTAACTAAAAACATCCGATTTCAAGCGGTTCTTTCGCAATCTCAATATTCCACATTCATAAAAAAGTAAAGAAAATAATCACAAATGTACGGCCAATATTGAACGCATTCAACACAATTAAAAACCCAATAACAACCGTGCGTTCTGTTACACGGAAATTATTTGAGATCTTTTAAAAAATATAATTATCGCAATATAGGTATATTAAATGAGATTATAACTCACAATAGATTTAAAATAGAACAAAGTAAAAGCACGTCTGCTTGCTAAAGCTTAGGTTTCTAGAAAAGCGGTGCCGTTAACTAACGGCCGTCTTTACTTTTTAACATAATGCAAAAAAACATCATTTTCGCCGTCCAAGTCGTTTTCCCCCATGGTATTAATTAAATATGGGCACCGCTACACGCAAAAACGTTGAACTAATGTTTATCACCGCTATGACGGCCGTCATGCAAATGACATCACCGCTATTTGACGTTACGGTGACACTCAACGTTCTCTAGGAAACCTACTCCGATGTTATTTATAGACAACGTATGGGTGACGTCATCAACGCCGTTACCGTTACGCCGTTACGGCCGTTACATAACGGCACCGCTTTTCTAGGAAACCTAAGCTTTAGCAGATCGACTGACGTGAGGGGAAAGTAAGGTTGTTGATGCATGGAGAGAAATGATGACGAAGATATAGCACAGGATATCCTGTGCTATACTACTACTGACATATGTCAGCAATATAGGATGCATTGAGGAGTTGTAACAGTTCGAATAGCGGCTTTCCACTGATGGATTTTTATGTACGCATTTATTTCTACGTGAAAGAAAAGAGCTTGAGGGAACAGGCACGTCTTGGAAATATCGATAGCCTGTGTAGCACATAGAAGACCTGCATAAAGAGAGAATAATCATCAAGGAACTTTACAGAAATCTGCTTCGCAGCGCTTGCAGTACAAATCATACCCGGTGCGGCAATCATGTATAGAAAATAAACTTTAAAGTACTTCTTGAAAAGATTTAAAATAAATAAATTTATCAATTTAAATTCAAACAAATTCCAATTATTATAAACAGAATATAACTTACCGGTTTCATATATTCCACTAAGCACTTGACTACTTCCAGCCCACTGCTAGTATTCGACGCCGCTAAATGCAGCGGTGTACGTCCCTCGCTGTCCCGTACTGTGCTGATGGCTCCCGCTTTAAGCAGCAATCTAGCGCTCTTCTCACAGCCGTATATAGCGCTTAAATGCAGCGCTGTTTGCTTATCTATACATAATGTTAATGATGAGGTATAGTTAACAATTCGGTATAGTTAAAAATTCCTCCTGCTGATAGAGGACAACTCTTTGTTTTTAATTTATGTTATTATTATTAATTACTTAAGATGTCATGTGGAACATGGTTTAATGGTTGCAGCTCCTTACAAACATTGTGTAAAACAAAAAATTGCGATTAAAAAGAGTGGCCGGAGAGTTTATTGCCAGTTCTTCTCTCCCGTTCTACGCCCTTGATTTGAGAACTGACAGTAAATGTAAAATTAGAAGCATTAATATGTATCCCCTTACTGATAAGTCATAAGTGTACAATGTGTTACCCATAAGATTAAATGATTTTTGAATTTTTTGAATTGCTGCAGAGTTTGACACAAAGATGTTTGTCTGTAGTCTGTAGTTTTCTTTTTGAAGTTATACTTCTTTTGGCGCGTTAGGGAAAAATGGGAGTAAATTTTTCTATTGTTAGCGTCCTTTTTTTACAAACAGAATAAGGCGAAAGACAACATTTTTGAAAAGATTTTTATTTTGTTACGCCAAAGAAGTACGTCTAATGCGTACATAAGTACACACACGTATTTTTAATGATATATTATGCTATTATGTAATTTAAAGTGTAGATCTTTGAAACGGAATTAGAGGATAATAAAGCTATGGGATAGTAGACGAGATGGAAGACACAAGCGTCTAAGGTCAGCTTAAAAAACTGTTTTTGATTTACCTTATTTAATTTTTTTATACTACAAAGTGATACCCGCCACTCATGAACACTTACCAAAATGCTCGCAAGATATGCCGGTCTTTTGAGAATTGAAGGACCCTAAGGAGAATTTTATTAAGTCCTTTTATTTTTAGAGATATAATAGAAGTTATACTTCTTTAGGCGCGTTATGAAAAAATGATGAGAGTGAAATTTTACGATGCGCGCGCACCTGAGACACAAAGTTGTCAGTGTGATTATAGCGTGCGCGAGCGAGATGGAAATAAGACAATCTACAAGTAAAAAGAAATAGAATATGCGTGAAGTTAGCAGCTATGCCAAGAATTTTGAATGAACATAATGACATTTACCTTTTAAACAAATAAAGGAGTTTTAATTATTTTTTTAAAGAAATTTAGCAATGCTTTTTCACAAAGACCTATTGTTACTTAGTTAAAAGGTTATGAAACATACGTAGTTATTAAATTGAATGAATAATATAATAAAATAATAAATAATAATAATTATTATTTAATTAATAATTGAATAATATACTAAATATAAAATATTATTGAATTATTAACGTTAAATATTTGTTATTAATTATTTAATATTTTAAAAAAATAAAGAAAGCCAAAGAAGTATAACTTCTTACGCGCGTACATAAGTACACGCACCCCTTTTTTTTATTTATAAAAGTACTTTCAAAAAGTTTTTAATTATTCTTATATAATTTTTTACCTTTTAATCTAAAACTTATAGTGATTTTTATCAGAGATTTTGGGGTATAGATAGGTTCAATAATTCATTACTAAATTGATATTTGAATAAGTTTTAAGTGAGCAGCTGGTTCCTCATACAAGTGGTGTGCGGCAAAACTGGCTTGAATACGCTTAGTTGTGGCACGACGTACGTCGAGGTGATACGGGTGGAATTTCGTATTCTGCCTCGATGTACGATGATGAAACTAAAGTCGGAAACACACTTACGTGTCGCGGCATGTCGTGACGCGCCAGAAGCATATTGGTTTCATACATTTAATATGATTAGACAGAACGTGTTGCGACACGACACAACATACAAATATGTTTCTAGTCATATTAAATGTATGAAACCAATATGCTTCTGGCGCGTCACGACACGCCACGACACGTAAATGTGTTTCCGACTTAAGTTAACTGAATATTTTGTTAGTCGTGTATTGTTTGTGTGTTATTAAAAACTGCGCACTGATAAATAATACCAACATGTATATGGTTCTTACCGTAATTAAATGCATTAATATTAATAGAAACATTTGCGGTTTCGATTTTGTTAAGTAGTGGCACAAGACAGGTGCGGCAAATCACTGCGTAGTGAATCGCGTTGTTGCCCTCCTCATCTTCCAACATCGGGTCGCAACCTGTAAAAGAAAATTTTTAAGAATATCAATTACTAGATGTGCTCTCCGATTCCCGCATTAATTTGGTCATAGCACGATGTTCTATAGACTAAATTAAAATATAATATTTCTATTAGACGTATAGTATAGCGGGCTTTTTTGTAGATATTGATGTCTTCCATAAATCTGTAGTACATAACTTTGCTCTATCGTCAGTAGTTGTCGCAGCGTACGGTATAGGAATTATTTTTCTTTTTTGGGTAGGTACTCTATTGTAATGTGAAACAGGACTCTAACTTTGAAAATATTCTAAAGTCTATTAGACAGTTTCGTAGCCTATTCAATGCAAACAAACAATCAAATCTTTCCTCTTTTATAATACTAGTATACTCGTAGATTGATCTAACTAACATGGGGTAAGCACTAACTATATCAACAACTTTATTAAGAAAAGAATTATCACAATACAGGTTTTGTTTTTTTTATAGAACGGGGGGCAAACGGGCAGGAGGCTCACCTGATGTTAAGTGATACCGCCGCCCATGGACACTCTCAAAGTCAAATCAATTATTTCAATTAGACCATCTAAAATGGCACTTTTGAACGTCAAAAAAAATACAAAGAAGATTCTAGTTGCCCCTTCCAAAAGGTAGTTTTGTGTGGAGAAGAATGGGCAAGAAACTCCAACTCTCAATGCCAGAGGGCTCGCGAGTGCGTTGCCGGCCTTTTAAGAATTGGTACGCTCTTTTCTTGAAGGACCCTAAGTCGAATTGGTTCGGAAATACTTCAGTGGGCAGCTGATTCCACATAGTGGTGGTGCGCGGCAATACGAAGTGTAGCGACATACGACAAACTAAATATGTAATAAACTATTATATGCAAGGGTTAATTCGAAGAAAGGTAAAAGAAGAGTGGGCAGACCACAGAGAAGGTGAGCTGATAACATAATAGAAATAACAGAAAAGACTGGCTATTCGCGAATATACGAGTCATCTGGAAAGACTTGGAGGAGGACCGAAGAGGAGTCCTCAGGCGACTCATATTTAGTAAATAATAAAAACATTTCAAATGGAAATTAAGGATAATTAAAAATTACTCATCAATAATGATTGTTTCCTATGAGAAATATATTTACGTGTTAAAAATATTTATGTGAATAATATTGACCTCCTCAATAAAAATATATAACAAATTACCAGAAAATTTGAAGAATGAAACAAATTACTTGAGGTTTACCAAATTTTTAAAGGATTATTATATAAGAAATATTATTACACTGTTACAGAGTATCTGACTGATAGACTTTAATTTCTTTATAAAAGTTTATTAATAATGTTAAGTACATTCTTCTTATCGCAACGTGAAGCCAAAGAAAATATACCAAATAAATAATGTACATTATAAGAATAAAAATGTATAAGAATAGAATTAACTATAATAAAACATGCCCTCTCAACATTCCTGTGCCTAACCAAGGTCCTTATTGTAATAAATTATATGGTGTCACGTGTAAAATATGAACATAGATGCATTAAAGATTTGAGTTTTTTAATGTTCTAAAAACCAGAACAAAATTAACTTACCATTTGAAATGAGCAACGGTATTAGATTTTCTCGATTATTGATGATTGCCAGATGGAGTACTGTTTGCATCCGGTCGTTCTGAATGTTCAGCAAACCAGTAATTTTTAAGTCATGAATCAGTTTGACTATGAATTGCAAACTGGGCTGGTTACTGCATAATGTCATATGTAAAAATCTGTAATCAATAAATAGGATTTTTATTTTCAACCTTAAATGTAAAATGATTTAATAAATGGATTCTGACAGCGCGGCCACCCGATGCGGTAACGGTGCGGTGCTGCACAACTCCGGCGGGCTTGCGGTGCGACGCCGCGCGGCGGGTCTTGTGACATGGTATAGTAAGTTGTATGTAGGATGACGGCACCGCTCCGGCGCCGTTACCGCATCGTATGGCCGCGCTCTGAATCAGTTCTTTAGTCAACGGATTCGTAATTTAGATTTTATAGAAATATACTTGGGCTCCAAGAAAAATACTCCGCTGGACTTAGAAGTGGATCGGAATGTCAAGAAAGCGTGACTAGGATACCAGTGACTGACCCAGATATACCTGGAATGACGTCGTAGAGGACGGGCGAGGTTCAAGTGGCAGCGCAAGATCGTCGATAAGGACGTTGTCTTCTTTCAGAAGATTTTTAGTAAGGGTCGAAGAGCCAGCGGAGTAAATAAGAAAATAATTCATACTTAACGAATAAATATAATTATTACACCTAGTAATATTTAGCGACAATAAGCGATTTAAAGAATGAAATTCAAATACCAGCAGTCTGTCCCGTTTACCCTCGACCTGGATATTTGGTTAACATTTATATTCTATAGACCATGATTATCATAATGTATCAAGAGGTAAAGGAAATTTGAAAGGAAATGTTCCACATGACATCTAGAGTAATAAATAATAATAAAATAAATTAAAAATTGTTGATTTGTCCTCTATCAGCAGGATGCATGGTGAAATAGGAGCACGCACTTATATTCTCGTGGGAACAACAAGCAAATACATAGTCGATCGTACTACAGATTTACATTAAGCCATAATGAATTATACACTTAATCCTTCTCTGAATGATGCTAATGGTAAAAACAAGTTTTGAGTTATTTACAAGGGATTTTTAATAAATACTTACGCATCTCCATTGTCAAGTCTCAGATCGAAGAGTCTTCTGAGTTTCTCCTTTAAAATTTGGCGTTTTGTGGTATTTTTACTTTTTATTATTTCGCAAAGTTCTCTTACCAACTGAAACGTAAAATCACAAATATATTTCATTCACTCGCGTGCTTGAGACGATGAAGATTAATGGGATGATGATAAATTCGGTAACTTTGCTGGCTGGGAACCAATAGATTTTTGTAAGGGAAACTGTAGATAGTGGGTATTGTGAGAAACCGTTTCGGTAAAATGATCAAAGAAAAAAATGCAATCTGATACCTAATTCAGTAAAGGGTTTCTTATAAAACAGGCGACAAACGGGCAGAAGGCTCGTCTGATCCGCCCATGGACACTCACATAGCATTTAAGAATTGGTACGCCCTTTTCTTGAAGGACTCTAAGTTGAACCGGTTCGGAAATACTTCACTAGGCAGCTGATTTCACATAGGTTTTAAAATTATATATTTTTGAATCATATACATATATGTCGCAGCCAGCTAGATTAGGCATTCAATTAACAGCCTATGCATTAGCCAGCCAGTTTATTAAATGTTGTAACAAACGCTGCGGCTGAACATCTTTCAGGCCGCTAGTTAAACGGCGCCGTTTAGTCAAAAGGCTAGGCTGCTAATTGAACGGCTAATTAAGCTAGTTGGCTGCGACATATGTATAGTATATAGGTATCGTATTTATACCTATAGACTAAAGCTTTAAAGAAAACAAAAGAACTCAATATTCAATACAATGTTTACAAAACTTAACGTTTCTAGTAAGTACTAGAAAGCAAATTAAGTTTACAGATTACTTTATTACGGTTAGTATTGTTACGAAGACGGGTTGACTGCAATGCTTCTAGATTTTTCCACTAGTTCGAACTTTTTTTTTTTTAATATTATGGCAACAGCTTCGACTTTATGCCAGTTTCAAGTAAAAGGTTGGGAAACTACACGCGAAAAAAAATAAACAAAAACATCAAAAGGAAATAAAGGGATAAGCTGGTTAAAAACAAAATATGTACATAAACATATTACATCTTAATATTATTATAGATTATGAAAGAAGATAATACATTATAATACAATAAAGGATAAAGCAAAAGGCAGGAGATTTTAGTCGGAAACGGAACATTAAGTGATTGTAAGGAATTCAGAAAGGAGGTACGGTCATATTGGGAACAAGAAAAGACAATATGGTCAAGGTCACCAATATCTTCTCCACACTCACAAATATTACTATCAACAATACAAAGCCTTGCTAAATGATGAGGTGTACAAACATGTCCTAAACGCATTCTGGAAATGATAGAAGTGACAGTTTTAGACCTTTTAACCTCAAAGAACCATGGTCTACTGGGGATCCTAGGTTGAATTTCAGCATAATGTTTGCTTTTGAACTTGCTGCTTCTCAACCAAACATCATTCCAGTTCGAACTTTTCAACAGGCTGAAATGTTATTTCCGACCGTTTCAGGAGAGGGTCAATCAATAGAATAATGATATGGAATAAAAAAAAATAAAAAAAATATATTAGAAAATTGTAATTTGTATAATTCCACCCTAGTTTTGAGAAGGCTGAAACATTGTTTTAGATAGTTTCAGAACATGTGTAGTGGAGTGGTACAGTTGTCAGGGAACCCGCTTTCAGTACCATTTATACCATTTTGATGAAGGAATATTCTAGACCGAATTCTCTAGGTGTCGGACAAGGACGGGATGATACGCGAGGGAGAGGGAAGATAAGGGACCTTCTCGAAGCCAGACTGAAAACTCTAGAACGCCGTATGACAAGGACGGAGCAATGTGCGAAAGAGATAAAGAGTACGTACGCTCTAGAATTGTGCAATCGCTACTCAGTAGCAATCCTGCTTAGAGAGCTCTCGAACATCGATATATAAGCGAGCCGAAACGCGACCAATTTACTCAGTTTCGAGTGCGATACCAATAACACGGAAGAGATAACGTGCGAATAGTGAAGAGAAGTGATAAAGTAGTGTGTTAAGTGCGCATAATAGTTAATTTCTGTGTGTAATTTCCGTTTTTTTTTAGTGTAAACAAATTCGTCGTTAATTTATTCAAAAATAAACCCTTGAAGAGATCTACGACATTTTCAATCCGATCTCCTAGCTCGTAACAGTATTATAAGCGTATAGAAATGTTGCCATATTAATATTTCCCTAGATTTTATAGTATAGAATTATAGAGGGTGAGAATATAAAACGCAACAATGGGATTTCCATTCTGTTCTATTGTGATTGGACAACATAATGTCGACAAAATACGTCTTTACATTACGTTTACTGAGACATTTTCCACCCATAAATCATTGGAAAGTAAATTTTTCAATAACTATACATTTTTAAGTGTTACGTTATAGTAATTTTCTTTATTGCAGCTCGGAAGAGTCTGGTAACCCTTCGACACAGGGACGTTCTAGTTGACCGTGTCAATTGCAACAATATAAGGTTTTTTTATTATTACATCCGTTTGTCCAGACACAATCGAACATTTCGTCTTTCCTTTTATATTATCACCCAGTTTGCCCATATCATTCTAAACAAGCTACTGTATTCTATCGGTATCCCAAACCTTATATGGACTTGATGATAAAAACGGTATACACATCACAGATAGTTAACCATGATTTGCAATTACCCTTAGGAAATAAAAACCATAAGTAGTACAAATTCCTAACTCTAGCAACAAATAAAAACCGATTCAAAATTTTAATCTATATCAAAATGGTGAATCGGAGTTTTTTTGTTCTAACGTTCACAATTTGCTTACTGTGACAAAGGTGCGTTCTTTATGCGTTTTGACAGGAATTTACAATTATTCTTCATTATTTAAACTTTTACGTCATTCATGAACAGTACGTAGTACGTACGTACGGTCTTTAGTACGTTGGCAAAAAATTTCCCCGAAAGAATTAATTATTATTAACAAATTATAATAAAAAAAAATTTTTAGAATGCCTTACGAACTTTACTTTCAAATACGATTAATATTTTGACAGTAATATTTCAAAGACAATTTTAGGATGTTGCTCGCTCGCAATTTATTGTCTATTATCCGACCGCAGTGGGCAATGGTCTTGTTAATAAAAAAGGTTATATATTCTGTGACAATGTAACTGTCAAGGTCAACTGTTAGTTTTTAACTATTCTGCAAACCAATACCTAATCAAATGGCCCTACAGATATCACTATCAAGTAATTAAATAATAGAAAACGCTATAAAATCTAGAATCTATCTTAAATTTAAATGTCAACATTTACTTAGATATCTATTCTATACATCGATTTTAGTTTCCGACAAAGTGCGGAGAAACGAACAAGAAATTGAGCACCCTTGGTTGGAAGTCTAAACAGTTAACAAACATATAATATTATCTTACAAAAAAACCTAACCTAATCCAAGCCAGCAATCATGTCACAATACGTCAAATAACACGAGTAAATATCAACTAAAATAGCTTCTAATAAACATAATTTCGTTTGCTGTACATATATGGTCACGGATGACCGAAAGTGTCATCCATCTTCAGTCACCCGTGACCAAAAAATCTGCAAAGCAAACGATGTGATAGACAAAAAAAATATACTTTACAAACCCTATTATACTACTTATGGTTAATTCGTTAAGTTTAAAGGCAACTCCATACCTAACTATAGGCAATGTGATTTACCATTTTAACTTCCTTCCCGTCCTCAGTGCTGTAGACCGCTGAATACTCAGTTTTGTTCCGAATACTTTCATGACTCTTCTTTGCAGGATCATCTTTGGTATCGCATTTGCCTCGGACAACCTGAAATAATGGTTTTATTAATTATATCGATCGTTATAAAATAAAATCCGTCTGTCTCTCTGTATGAACCAAAAACTTTTTTTGTAGCGGAGAGCTTTTTGCTAGTTCTCGCCCGTTCTACGCTTTAGTTTAGGAACTGGTATACTAAATTAACCCGTCCATTTTTTTTAAATTTTGTCGCTCACAAGTACCAAACGATGCGAACGCTAACCTACAATTGTACTTTTGACATGTGACAGATGTCAGTTGGCATTTGACAGATGATTAATTCGTGATATTTAATGTTGTATGTGTTATTTTTCTATTTTATACCATATAAATACAATTGAAAGTGAATATTTCAATTTATTTTAGTATCTTGGTTGACAGTATTATATTATTTTATTATTAATTAGTTAGTAACTTTGTTTTAGTGGCATCAACTAGCGTAATTTACACTTTCTATTATTAGATAGATTAAGGTGCTCACCGGTCGTGCGGAATCAGCCACTAATGAAGCGCTTCTGATAAACGACATCCCATGAATCTGAAGAAAAAAAAACAGTTTAAATAAGCTTATCAAAAAAAAAAGTTTCTATGCAACGCCCAAATTTATATGAACCTTTTTTAATCGATCGATTTTTTTATAAATTTGAAGCAGAATTCGTTAAACTAAGACTAACAGTCGACCATTAATTAACCTGGCTTTATTATCATTGTTTTAAATGAAGAGTACTACATTGAAATAAATTTAAACTCGACGTTTTGATTAGTCTTACTGTCTGGTACAGAATGAAAATTTAGTAAATAATAAAATCTACTTACATCTCCCGGCTGGCTCAGATGTTCGTCAAATGACCGGAAGTATTCTGGAACAGAGAAAATACATATATACAATTTATTTCATATACTAATATTTATTTACACTTTAACCTACACAACACACAACTACATAAGTTATTGACAACAAGCGATTTCTTCAGGAACCTTAATATGGAACAGTAAAAAGAAACACCTACAGAGGTTAAGTACAAGAAGTGCATAAATAATTAAAAAAAACTCAAAATAACATGTAACTAAACAAAAATAAAATAAAGTAAAATCTAAGAAATAAAAATATGTACAAACAAAAATTTATAAATAGAAAAGGTTTATGTTTGTAAAGAATAACTTCAAAAATTATTGCACCGTTTTTCCATTAATTCACCATGATCCCTTAACATAGGCCACGATATAACTCGGTCCTGTGCTCGATCTAACAGAGATTTTAGTTGTTAAAATCGAGAACGATATATCGATGAATGGCGTAATCTGGATTTTTCGTAGAAACGATTCCAGCTCTCCCGATTAATATGTACTCTCAAGAAATTCATGGGATTTTTAAGAAATCTATTAAAGTATTAAGGAGAGCCATATCCTCCATACCATTATGCGATCACCCCTAAAAGGTGAAACAGACTACACAATTTGTTATTTACATACTATTATTATAATAAACTCGAAGTGTGTTGACATTCTGTGACTGCGAGTGTAACCTGTGGATGCAAAATAATGTCTCAATGCACAGAACATTATTACACATAACAGCTGACATTTGTCAGAATCTGTCAGTTGAACTGTAGACCCAACGTAAAAATGTACCATGCCGATTTCTAAGGCTCATTTTTTTTAATATTGGTTGTCTAATATATTAATACCCAATTGGATTTTTTGATATAGTCCTTTTTGATATAATTTAAGATTTGTTACAATCATTTTAAGTACCCCGAGTGGTACATTACTGATCACTGCAATAATATTCTTATTGCATACATAATTACTACATTAAAAACTAAAAAAGAAGGACATATAGTTTAGCTGAATATCCACATTCAAAAATCATATCATTCATATTCATTCCCTGTACATTAGGAACGTTAGAACGTTGCATAATCTAGATCTACAAATTTATTATAATTCTAATAAAATGATTGACTTGTGTTTCAACCTTAAGGCCTTCGGACCTGGTGATGCACCAATGGATGGGGTCCAGTTACCCATAAAGATAAAAAAAACATCTCGAGTTGCTATGCTCCGTCTACAGATCGACAATCATCAGAAGGCTAATCACCTACTTGTCTATAAGAAAAATCATAGGTCGAAAATAATTTTTTAACACTTTCAGGTTACTTACACACAACGGGTTAAAGTTAGACAAAAATGAATGAATTAAATGTGGCATTTCTATACTCTGATTTTCAATTCCGTAGAATTCTGACATTTCATAAATGTTGCTACTAAAAAGATCTCCACCGAAAAAGGGACAAATTTGACCCATTTTAGGGCAATAAAAGGTAAAGCTTAATATTTACTTCCTCAAATGACCTAATATAAAAATAACAAATATTTCAATATCACGAACAATATACAGAATTAACTTTAATTACTTTGTTTTATTCATTAGCTGGCATCACTTCCTAACAATTCCAGGTTTAGTAAATCTTTAAAAAATAAATGTTATCTTTACTTGTGCGTTTCTACAGTTTGTGATGTAAAGGGATCTAATTATCAGTCGACGTAAAACCACTTATAATGTTGAGCACCGCACTTAATTAAATGAATACATTCACTTACAAATAAAATGTTTGTATAGACTATAGAGTCAGATCGTATTGAAATTGAAAAATGTGCCCGGCCAAAAAGGTTTTTAATCTCTGACATATCTTAAAATGATAGCTGTCAGAATTCTACGGAATTAAAACTCAGAGTATAAGTCTATAATTTTCTATGACTTACCACTTAAGTCCGAATCCAAAAATCGTTTGCGCTCTTCAGAAGGTATGTGAGGACAGTCTTCAAGCAGGCGGTTCATTTCAGTCGAGTCGAGTTGTATGACTGGTGGAGGCGGCACATTTGGTTGGCCCAGCATAGGACTCTCGTAGTGCGGCGCTGCCGGCTGAGACACGTTGTATAGGAGTGCGTCTCCCATCATAACATCCAAATTTGATGGAGGGGTGGGTGGTACCTGGGGATATAAGAATTCAGTACTGGAAAGACATTTTCATATATTGCAATTTTGGGAAATTGCGTTTAAAGATTTTGAGTTGTTCCACTGCGGCTCCTTTTTTTTGTATAAAATGCATTTTATTAAAGTCATGTTTATGAAAGTTGTTCTTGTCGCTATAGGATTCTTTGAAAATTAATTTCAAATTCTATAAAAATGGCTTACATATTTAATAAAAGTAAGTTGGGCCCATATAGTACAAAAAATATGATACAACTTATGTAATATGGAGCGTACAAGTATAACAGCAATTTTTGGAGAATATTGACCCCCCGTGTAACGCGCCGTAACGTTTTTCAGTACCCAAGGGCCAGTACTGTTACCATTATGTGGTGTAAAGTACTGGAAAGTCGAAAATAATATTAACAATAACGCGTAATTCAATGAACGCCCCGCATCGTAACATTTTACAAAAGGACCCCTCCAAAATTGGTTACGTAATACTTGAACGCTCACATATTCTGTGTATGAAGTTTTTGGCAATATCCCAATATCTCTCTATTTTTTGTCAAAGAAGGGTTCAAACACAAATAGCGCAACGTTTGAACTGTCAAACTTATTTTAATATGGACACTACTAGTTAGTAACTTATAGCAGTAAAATCAGGGGATGCGCGGCAGGTGTGAGAGAGAGACGCAAATATGTTTCGCAGTTATTATTTTCCTTTTTCTTTCTCTCTCAGCGCTAATGAGAAATTTCGATCTTCTGTCCTTAGAATGGCCCTGGTAACTATATATTAAAATTAAGTACTTACATAACTGATTTTCGGCAAAACTGGAATTTCATTTATTTCCATTTCCTTGTTCGGCTGCTGTAATATGAAAATCTGTGATTAACGCCTAGATCCACAATACGAGACGTAATAGCTACGAGTACGTCGTACGTCAAAACCCCTTCAATACAAATATCTACAACCCGTCTCAAAATATAAAATCGCCATAAAAAATTTCATTGTTTCTTTAATCAATACAAAAGTACATTATATGTGTTGACAGAATCGAAGTTTGACGATGTGTCGCCATTTATGTGAAATGGCAGGTCTTTCATTTCGTCTGAGAAATCCTTGACTTCAAACAATCATTAAAATGTAATGGCTCGGTGATTTTTTTTAATCACACTTTATTATAATTATATGATTTTTAATTTTTCATAGTTAAAAAATATTTTAGACATGGTTTAAGAAACATAGCAACGATAGAAGTTGAGAGTCCCTTAAGTTTTAAGCGACATCAAACAAGGTGATTACTTTTCGAATTGGATAATATTTGTGGTAAATTTCGTATATTTTCATGTATGCACATTGCACATTCCCGAACAGTGTTGTTAACAAAAATAAAAACCGAACTAAAACTTCTTGGGGGATAACATACATAAATAATATAGATTGCTATTTGCATTCGGTTCAAAGTTAACCATACTTACGTTAACAAAGTCGATTGTCAGCGGCAAATCGCTGATGCTTTTAATTGAGCCACCTGAAAAATAAAAATCAATGTTACATTTGATTGTGGGGTTCGATTTTCTTTTAAAATTAAATTTTGAAAATCACTAATTTATATTTAATTATCATTGATTTTAGTATTCGCACTGCTACTTCGAATAGTTAATGAGATCGGATATTATATGGAAATTAATTTAGATTTTATTGCCACTCTCTGTATTCAAGTATTCTCTTATGAAACGCTAAATTAAAAGAATGGTTTAAATACTTTACTATTTTAATTAGAGTTTAATTGTAAAGTTCAGTTTAATACGTTTTGTAGTTACGCGTTTTGACAGAGCAAATTATTTTAACAAAGTTTACTCATGAAGCAACAATATGTATTGAATTTTTAAACTTTTCATTCCTAGTAATGAGTCAATACCTGAGCTAATAGAAGAGTAAGAAGACTCAGCCTTTCTTTTCTTCTCTCTGCTGCAGAAGTCAGCTATGTAGTGGAACTCTTTGGGTTCGCTGGTACGACCATCGGACGGTCGCAGCAACTCGAAGAATACTTTCACGTTTTTCGAAGTTGGACGATATGCTGGTGTACTGAAAACATCACGAATTCAAATGTGACGTATCTTACAAATGTTATGTACCTATAGTTATTCAAGTCACATTAATGACGTCAAGTAAAAATTATCTTCTCTGGCTAGGCGAGCGTTTTGGAGAATCTTGACAAATGTAATGCGCATAAATTTGTACCCGTTCGTTAAACCGAAAAAAATACCAAATGGGGGGTGTAGAGTACTGGAAAGTCGAAAATTTTTAACTATAAGCGTACGACGGATGGCGTCGTAGTATATTTATCGGCATAACACTTTGAATAGGTCCATGTTTTTAATAAGAGGTGAAAGTTCTGTAGATACTTATGATAACGGTGCATCGACCATTAACTTTATGTTTTTAATAGGTAATAGTTGAAACCTTAGGCATAGACCATTACAAAGCCCTAGTTTGCCTAATTTGAGTAATTGCACTGCTGCTACACGGATGTATGTGTTATCTATGTGGGGGTAATATATTTTCATAAGTGCCTTAAAACTAAATGTAGGATAATATTTCAATTAATGATTAACACTAAAATATAAGATTTTGATTTTTTTTTCGCTATATTCCCAATCCAGGAAATCCTCTTGTAGGTTTCGGGGAGATGATTAATTAAATAATCTGATGCTCGAATACTTACTTTATATTTGAGTAAATGGCCCTTAAAAACGACACAGATCTATAGAGCTTTGAGTGCAGCGACCGAATCAAGAAATTCCGTAACGAAAATAAACCTAACACACAATGACGTAATATAGTTGAGGCCAGTACGCGTTAGAGCGGGACTGAACGCATACTGCGTCTCACATCGGTCTGGCGTGATCGGTGACGTAGCGCAGGTGCGTTAGAGTGGGACAGAACGCAAACTGCGTATTCACATATCTCTGACGAGACGGACAGACAGGCTATATAGTTGGTAGATTAAATTAAGAAAATTTAGAAAAAGAAAAAATACATAATAATTGCATACGTTGATAAATAATGCTATGCAAATCCTTTACCGCGGCAGTCCCCGAGTGCCACACTTTTTTTTTCAGTCTCACCTAAGGAGAGTTTTATAAAATGTATTGAAATAAAATATAATTTGCTGTCACTTACGTAAAGACGATACCGTATTGGTGATGAACATCGCACGTTAAAAATCTGGCGAACGTCTCCCACACCCGCTCCCCATCTTCGTTCAATTCAAAGAAACGTATCATAATATTTTCTGCAAGATTATTTATTTATAAGACATTAATAAAACCAGCGAATCATAGGGTAAGATTTAAATAAATGACTTAGCTCTAAGTGTGACTGCAGTACGTCATAAATGTATTGGATTTTCAGTCGTGCTGTGAAGTTATTATAGTGAAGTATCTGGATCTCAGACCTAAAATATGTCAGTCACAAATCTTTTTGCCTAATTATAAACAGATACAGAAACAGTGTTGTAGCGCTACTCACACAGCCCTCTGTGCCTGACACGCTCTAAATTTCCTACGATGTTTTTCATTACCGTATGAGCGAGTGGATAATTCGCACTTGGCTAAATTAATTGATCGGCGTTCAAACGTACGACATCAGGTAAGCGTCGCCACAACATCCAACACTGCTCATAATTAATTACAGATCTAAACTAATTAATCATCTTCCTGAAGTATTCTCTCGTTTGAAGTTCGTCGAATCGTTCGAATTTCATAACCGATCTTTAGATTATTAATCTACCATCACAGACCAAATTACAGCTGTAACGTACTTCGTATTGTAATAACGACCTCCGTCGTTCCACAACTGAGCGATTTTTAAGGCAGTTTTTGTCCGCGCATCACTACTACGTGGAACCAATTCGACTTAGGCTCCTTGAAGAAGGTAGTACCAATTCTTAAAAGGCGACGCCTTCAAGCACTCTGGCATTGTAGTGTCCATGGGTTCTCATTAAAATTGAATAATTGCCGGCAACGCCCTCTGGTAGTTGCGAAGGATGGCGTAGTCTTGCTTTTCGGCATTTTGTAAACGTTGTTGACATTAAGTGCCAGCTCTAAGTTGAATAAACGTATTTTGATTTGATTTGATATCACTTAACATCAGGTGAGCCTCCTGTTGCTCCCTGTTCTATGAAAAATAAACTTACTTTTGCTGACTTTTTCCACAAATATGAAAACCTGGTCTCCCCCCTTGGCCTTGCCAAATCTTTTACTGACTCGGCATATCTTTGGATCATTGGTTGCTGCACTTTCTGTAACGTAAAGAAAAATTATCTACAACAGCCCATCTTTATACTCTCGTTAATAGAAGACTTGATATTCTCGTTCTGTTTATGTACGTGAAATTTTCTGAAGAGTATTCATATAAGTTAATTTTTCTAAATTGTTATTGTACATAATAAAAAATGTAAAAGAGTTATTCATCAGTAAGTGTATAATAACACTACAGTCGCTATTAAGACACTTTGTTCTTGTGTAATATTTTTAATCCTATACATAAATGTCACTTTTGGACAGTTCGAATTCGTAGAGACAATAATTTTATTTTCAAGAAACCAACGAACAATGTATACAATAGCAGTTGATGATTTCATCTGTTCGTGGTACGGGTAATCTTCGTACGTAATATAATACAACGACTTACGTCCAACCTTCATTATACATTAATTCAATATAAACAACTGGATTTTTGAAGTAATACTTCTCTAGGCGCATTATGAAAAATTGATGAGAGTGAAATTTTACGATGCGCGCGCACCGTGACACAAAATTAACAGAATGAAGTTAGTGGCGCATGTGGGCACGCACGCCGCCTCTGTTCACTGTGTATTTATCCACATGCTTTGAGTTTCTACATTTAAAACACGTGTTTTCATTATACAATTTATATTGCGAATTTTATATGTGCGTCTGAATTATAATCAGAAGTGATTTAAATTGAATATTTAAATCAATGCTAATTAACAAAAATAAACTTAAATTATAAAAATAAACCAAATATTTATTTATTTAATTTTTCAAATGTAAACTGAACTTTATTGACTATAATGACTCCTTTTCATCAAATGATGCAATCAAAAACTATTTTTAATAATGCCAAAGAAGTATAACTTCTTACGCGCGTACATAAGGACACGCACCCTTTTTTTTAATAACATATATGTCAAACTAGCCTACTGGCCAAAATAACCAGCCCAGCCCATGGTCGGCCATTTTAGGGAGCTTAGCTTTTGAGGGAGGAATATACTCTTTTTAAACAATTGGAGGTCATATCTCTCAGAGAAGACCCCCACCAAAATAAATTATTTAAACATTTTACAGGTGCATATGTAGAATATTGTCTAATTTATTTTTTTAAACTTCAAATGCTGTGTTTACTTGGCTTTTTTACTATGTTACTAATACTTTTATAAAAAATATAAGGACAAAAGGTTATAACAGGCGTACTTTAATAAATAAATATATAATTTATTTGTTATACTATATATTATGGTTACAATCCATCTAATCTAAAATACATGACAATTATGGTGAACATACATTTTTCAAAAATATTAAACTTCCAATTTAAGTGTTAACGAGTAATTTTTTGTAAAAAATGCTGATTAGGTACCAGATAAGCGGTACATAGCTTTTTTGAAATTGATCAGACCACTATAGTATAAGATCCCGATATACAACGACCTTCACCGAGATGCTTATTTAATGAAACGTATTTTATATTTAATTTAATATGTCAATAAATATAATCCATATGGGTTGCCTAGCAAATTTCAGTCCAGAGTATGTTTAATTAATATTTAAAAAAAAATATTTTTTTATAATTTGCATGTAGTAAATTTTTTTCAATCAATATTTTTAATCAGGGTAGAATTATACATGTATCACTATAACTTTCTTTTTTACTAAAGCTGTATATATACTTTAGTGTCACATAAAAAATATACACATAAATAATTAATTGATTAAAAACAACCTAACGTTTGCATATTCTATGGGCTTCATACTTTCGATTGGTATAGAATTTATCTAATAATCATACCGGTGAAATGTTTAACAAAATATATTTTTTTTAATTTTAATTAAAATACTCTGGACTGAAATTTGCTAGGCAACCCATATGGATTATATTTATTGACATATTAAATTACATATAAAATATGTTTCATTAAATAAGCATCTCGGTGAAGGTCGTTGTATATCGGGATCTTAGACCACTACTGCCCTGCGATTCTGTAACTCACTTTTCGAACTCACACAGCGGTTTTCGCATCGGCGGTCGCTCTCAAATCAGTCGTGAAGCAGTCATTTTATGATTTGGCATTCTGATAAACAATAAACTACAAGCTCCCACCTTTTCAGAATGCCAAATCATAAAATGACTGCTTCACGACTGATTTGAGAGCGACCGCCGATGCGAAAACCGCTGTGTGAGTTGAATGTGAGTTACAGAATCGCAGGGCTGAATATATAAAGCTCTGGATAAGTAGTGTTTGTACCGTTATATTCCTGAAAATTCTGTTGATTTTGATCATAGAAAAGGATTAAGGACGACAATTATATATTCTGTATTTTACCATTAATAATTTGAACAAGACCGTAACACAACACGTAAGTTTCATCATTTGGAAAACTATTTTATGCTTTCATTTTATTTTGACAGGACGAAAGAGTAAGTACCTACTGTATACTGTGATTTTTAATTCCGGTAAATTCTGACATTTCATAAGTGTTGCAACAAATTTGACCCATTTGAGGCAATAAAAAAATGCTACGTTTTTTATGTTTTACCTTCAAAAAGGTAAATCAAAATATTTACCTTCTCAAGTGACCTTATACAAAAATAACAAATATTTAATATCACATCATCATATAATGTTATCTTTACTTGTGCGTTTTTACTGTTAGTGATGAAAAGGGACGTAATTATCAGTCGCTGTAAAACCACTTATAATGTTGAGAACCGCACTTAATAAAATTGATAATGTATCCAAACAAAATGTTTGTATAGACTCAGATGTTCAGACTCGTATTGAAATTGAAAAATGTGCCCAGCCAAAAAGGTTTGTAATCTCTGACATGTCAAATGATAGCTGTCAGAATTCTACGGAATTAAAAATCAGAGTGTAGTTTAGTTAGCCAAGTTTGAGTTAGCCAAGTCTGAAATAAGTCTAAAGGATCGATAATAGTTATAATATATAATACTTACTCATATTGTGAATGGGATCAGAGAAAATTGGAGGACACAACAGTTCACCAGAGTTAACATCATGTGCAGTAAACTTGAGCCTCACAATATTCAGGTTAATATTTTTCGTTTCTGCCTCGCAGCGCATGCGCAACTAAAAATAAAAAATAAATACGAACTGAATTTGCCTCTCATGACGTCTGCACTCTAGACGAACTCGTATCAAACTAATGAGCGATTGTTCGTTGTTTTTTAAATGAACGTAGGTATAAAGTTGCCCTCCTTTACATTTAATCATGTTAAATTTTTATATTTTAATGCAACAAAGTGTAAATAAGTAAATATAAAATTGCTTTACTTTAGGATTTGTTTGAAATACACCATTTTCAAACATAGAACATCTAATTGTAAATAATCTGAACTATTCTCGAATCCACTTAAACACTCATCGAAATCGGTACATAAATTTATCGCATTACGGGTTTGTCTTTGTCGTGGCATTATTAATGATAATATTGGCACGAGAAGCTAATAGAAACGAAATAAACACATCAACCGATCAACTTCAAAACTTCTAATTGTCAGTTGCGTTTTGTTATACCATTTTTCACAAATGAACGGCTCGACTGATATTTTTTTTCTTCAATATATAGGAAAATTTACATAAATCGTTAATAATTATTAATGATTTTGTATTGTTCGACAAATACATGTTCTAGATAGAATAACCTCATGAATTTGACAATTTTTTGTCAACTCTACACTGGAGGAATAACATTCGATTTGATTTCGTTTATTAAATTAATAATAACATAAACTAATTAAATGCTATATGCATAATATTAACCAAGTAGGTTCTTAGTTAAACATAATTTTATTTGGTGATAAATATTAAATTTTTAATTTATTTGATTATTTAAATTGTTATTATTGACTCTCTCGTAGACTTAAAAATAATCTTTTTATCTATCTTCAATTAATAATATTTTCATCACATGTCCATTTTATAACGATTATTGTAGTACTACATGCCAATTTTTAAGTACTCATTGTTAACAGATTTATTGTTTTGTTTTAGTCAAACCATAAGGCTAGACGCATTAATACGTGACTGAGCTGTGTAATGGTACAATAAAACTAGCGTAGTATAATCTTTATTGCTTTGCACGTAGCTTCAAATGTACTTTTATAGAAAAACACTTTTTACCGGATTGAAGTTATGTATTATAAATTTAGAATTATTTTACATAATGTTAAATTTAACCGACGTTTCGCGTGCTTTACAGCGTGAGTGGTCACGGTGACTGAAGACAAAAGGTGTTGAGTGTCAAAAAGTATCACAGCTGTAGAAAAAGTTGTTTTATCTGTATTTATTTCCCCGGAGTTGGTTTCGATTAAAAGATGGAGGGTTTTGGCAGAAATGGCTCACGGTGTCCTGTACTTTTATTTTACTATTGCAAAGCTACACTCAATATATGATAAAGACAATCACGACGTTCACAACACAAGAATACTCTTAAACTCAGTTCGGACTTCGGACCTAGACTTCTCTGGTAAATGTACTCGGCACTCACCCGGTACTGGTATATGGCTTCAATACACCAAATCGCATCAATCAGAGCGATCGCTCTGACCCGTCCAACTATCGTCATAACCTCATTCTTCAAAATAATGAACTATTATCAACAGGCAGCTCCTGGGGTATGTAGACAGCCACCAGCTGATTGGCGATTGACAATATTGCTTTCGCCGGTCGCTCGATGGGAAATTGAGGCCAAGTGGGAGGCGGTTAGATTGGATATAGCGAAAGCCTTTGATCGGGTGTGGCATAACGCGCGTCCACCAAAGCTTCCATCGTATGGAATTTCCAGAAAATTATCCAAATGGGTTTCCAGCTTTCTAGCCAATCGGAGCATCAAAGGCGACATTGACGGAGCATGATCCGACTTCAAACCCGTGAACGCTGGGGTCCCACAAGGCTGTGTCCTGTCCCCGACCTTTTTTCTTTAGCAAATCAATGACATGTTGCATACTTAGCAACATTCATTTCTATCATTCATAGCAGTGGGGATACTCTTTAAACTGACCGTGCAGATATTTCTCGGGCAGTTGACGATCAGTAAGAAAAAAGACTATTGTCTGTAGTTGAAGATCTGCTACGTGGAGTCTCAGACTAGGGTCGACTAAATCTAGTCCAATTTAACCCCAAGAAGACACAAGTTTGCGGGTTTTCCGCTAGAAAACAACGTCCTTAAAGCAACAGCCATCATCGGATTACGGGGTGATGACCTATTAAACGACGTTTAGTTTAACGGTCTTTTGGAAGGGAGGGCTAAATAAACTTCGTGTGGTGGCAAGGCGAGACGGTACTTGACTCCGAGGCATTATTAACAAATGTATAAAACGCAAATTCGGCCTCTTATCACATTTAACAGGAAGTGTTCAGTGGAGTTGTTCGGATTAATACCTTCAGCTGAGTTTTATCAGCGGACGTCGAGGCAGAATACGAAATTCCACCCGTATCACCTCGACGTCCGGCGTTCCACAACTGAGCGCTATTTAGGACAGCTTTTACTGCGCACCACCACTATGTGAGACCAGCTACCCAACAAAGTATTTTTGAACCAATTCGACTTAGGGTCATTCAAGAAAAGAGCGTACCAACTTTTAAAAGGCCGGTACGCACTCGCGAGACACCTAGCGATGAGAGATGAGAGTATCCATCACTCTCAATGCCAGAGGTCGAGCACCGGTATAACATAACATCAGGTGATCTTCCTGCCTGTTTGCCCCATGTACTATAAAAACAAACTTGGAAAAAAAAAATTCTGCCACTGTTATCAAACTTTAACTGAACCAAAAAACACAAATTGAAATAACATTTCAATAATACGTTATAAGTAACAACTAACAATATTGTTATACGCTTTATGCCCGCGAAGCAGCAATATAAAATATTTTGAAATTTTTAGTGACCCCTCGGAAACCCTCAGTGGATGTAAAGTGGATTGCCGCAATAAGTGCCATTTAAAAAAATGGGATATTAAACTTCGTGGTTAAAGTCTTGGGACATTTCTATAGGAACACAGGTGTAAATCACTCTTATGCCGGATCTCAAAGCAGGAATATATGTATATGGGTGAGATGTATGCCAAAAACATATTGAATTTGAGCATACGAAAATGGCTTGCGCGCGAAATTTTTTAGGGTACTTATGTTAGATGTAATAGGAAAGCAAGGTGGGTTTACATAGAGTTACGTCAACAAAGCTTTTGTGTATCCGAAAGTTGTTCTAACTCAATGGCCGCAACTAGAATATCTATTGCTCTGTATTATAAGGCGCCGGCACCACTAAAAATGGGTGTCTATGGGCTCGCGAGAACTACCCTTTTGGTCGTCCGCAAGCTCGTTTTTAATATCTCTATATATATATAATGAAAATGGTCTTCGTTTGAGGGCTCAATCACGCCTAAACCATCGATCGTATCGACGTGAGCTACCACCATTCGATGCGAAATTTTCCTAGATGGTTTATGGCTATTTATTTATTAAATTCAACGTTCCTTCAATTTTTTTATTGCTGTTTACTTTTGTAGAAAATTTATCCATACGGACTTCACCACAGAAACATTCGGGGAGGCTTCCTAAGAACCTCTAAACGTCAACATCACTATTCAAAACTCGATTTTCAGAAATATTTCAATTTTCTTGGCGAAGAATTAAAAAGGAAGAATAATAAAAATATGAAAAAACAAATAAAAAAAACATAAAAATTTATTTAATTCGTCCAGCAAAGCGGGCGCAGAGCAGCTTCAGTTTTATATTAAAAAAGCGCTAAATCTGAGTCTAAACCAGATATATCAGAATTAAAATTTCATGTAGAGAGTATATAATATTATTATTTAAACGTATATCAGATGTTATCTATCATTTACCGGAAAAGCGAATCCGCTGTGTTTTTTATAATACCTATAAGCGTTAGTAATAACTCGTTACTAATCCTAAAACTATGCTTAAAGCTGTCATATATATGTTTATATATTTATAATTTTATTATTGGACATCATTTAATACATTCTCTCAAATACGTAATATTTTGCATCATTGACGGTATATTTTTAATCCATATCGTATAAAGCTAAAGGTACTCAAAGTTGTACTCTTCCAGCATGCTTAGTATATATCTAAAATGCTAAAACGCCGCTTCGTGGAATTAAGAATACAACAAAGTAGCGAGTTACCAAGAAGTAATCACATACCTATCAAAATAGTCGAACATTGTAATATGATATACACAAAACACTTCATATCCGTTGTAATCACTACATAGTATAAAACAAAGTCGCTTTATCTGTCCCTATGTATGCTTAAATCTTTAAAACTACGCAACGGATTTTGATGCCGATTTTTTAATAGATAGTTTCTAATGTGATGTATAGTAAATAATTACTTTTTTCCGCTTACATTGCAAACGCAGGCTAAACCCTACGAGATTTATCAAAATAATGTGCTAAGTATTGTTCACATTGAAAAGGTCTATAGAAAACTCCGCGATGGTATATGTCTATCTCTTATGGATATCCCACAATAACATTTTTTCGTCATTTACTTTTTATGACAAATAATGGCTAATTTTCGAAGCGATTGCATTGCATTAATCCTCATCCAATTAAATACCTTAAATACATTGTTGATTTAATATAGATCTATATGGCTCTTTATAGCATATGATTTAAATGAATATTTTCGAAGATATTACAGATTAAAAAATTGCGGGACCTAGCGTTTGCGGCGGAGCCGGCCGGGGCGTCGCGTCGGGAGCGTGCCTAATGCCTATAAATAGCGCGTCGAAGGCCGCGGTTTTCCCTCTAGCACTTTGAATTTAGTATCAGCATTTCACCTTTGCGAAGCCGGGGCGGGTCACTAGTAAAAGATAAACTAAAGTATAGGTAGGCGTGGTGGCAGGACGCAGCAGATTTAATTTCTAGAAGCAATTTCTAGAAAGATGAACATCTATAATTGAATCGTAATGTCTGTACGCTCTAAATACATTTATCGATTAATGATATAGGTCACGTTATATCCGATTAACGCACGTGAAATTTCAGAGCAGAACTGGTTTATAATATACAAGCGTCGCGCGGCTTGAAACCTTGAAAAATAAATAATTAAATCTTCCTCATGAATCATTCTAGATATTGGTGACGAACGCAATAAAATCCGTGCAGTTGAGTTTATCTCTAGCAGTGGTGGATTTACAAATTCTCAAGGTATAGGTTGTGTTTTTACCTCCCTTTCCTCTACAATTGTCATGTCATAGATTATTTTTAGATTCGCTGCCTTCTAACAGTAGTTTTTTTTTTTAAGACAATTCGCACCAAATTGAAGGGAATTAGGGGGAAGAGGGAAATACACTTTCTGCAATTTCGCTCTTTTCACTCATACAAAGTGAGAGCTGCGGGCGCAGAGGCCGATGACTGGTTGGTTGGGGAGCGTTCAAGTATTACGTAACGCAATTTTTGGAGATTATAGACCATATGTAACTCTCCCCAACGCTTTCGTACTCAGTACAGTACTGTACTCGAGTATAGCAAAACGTTTCGTGACCACCTAGTTGACTCTTTAGTTACTATTATGTGGCGTAAGTCGAAAATAATATTAACAATAACGCGTAATTCAAACCCCGCCCCGCATCGTAACGTTTTACAAAAGGAAAAAAAAACTCGTTAACTGAACGCTTCCTTGGGCACATTTGTTGCAGACTTCTCTGTAAAACATCAGAAAATCGTGATGTAGATATTTTTTTGATTTCTATGATCCTACTCAGCCTACTGGTAAATCCGCCACTGATCTCTGAGGGAACTGATAAAAACTGTGGAGGGTTTATTTTTACATAATATAAAAGTTAGACAGGCGCTTTTGCTGACTTTTGAAAACATTACTCAGGCTCTACAGCTTTTCTTTAAAGCTCAATCATATATTTCTTAATGTTCACGAGTTTCGCGTTAATATTTGGCCTATGACACTCACAATAAACCTGGCTTTGTATTGGCAAAAGAATTGACTAAATCGGTCCAGACAGATCCATATCAGCCTTGCGATTCTGTAACTCACTTTTCGAACTCACACAGCGGTTTTCGCATCGGCGGTCGCACTCAAATCATCATGGCATTCCGATAAACAATAAACTACAAGCTCCCACCTTATCAGAATGCCAAAACAAAAAACAACAAAACAAAACAACAAAATGACTGCTTGACGACTGATTTGAGAGCGACCGCCTATGCGAAAACCGCTGTGTGAGTTTGAAAAGTGAGTAACAGAATCGCAAGGCAGGTGACAGAAGTCATTTAGGATTATCTTACGAATCAGTCCAAATTCGTCGAAATCGTTTCAGTGATTACTGAGAGATGATATTATGTCTTTTTTAAGTGGACGTCACTACTATCATTATAAATGCAAAGTTATAAGCAAGTTTCAATCCAGGTTAGATTAAGTCCAGTACAGCTGAATGTTTCTGGTTAAAATTTGAGTAGACAACTGAGGAATTTGGTGTTGTCGCGGGACTAACGTGCAACGCCTACTATGTATAAAGAAATAGTATACAATAATATTTGTTTGCCACTTCACAAGTCTACAATAAAATGTACAGCTACTACGGACTATGACTTAAGAAGTCCTAAGGTAACGGGTCACCAGCTTGTTGCATATTTAACTATAACAGCAGATATTTTATACACAAAAAAAAATTATGACATGGGATCTTATAAATAAGAGTGCTACATTAAAATCTCCTGGTGTACTTACCTTGCGTTCATTAAATTCAGATTGTTCCATATCTTGCGAATACTTCTTGTATAATAAAGTAGGTATATCTTTCTTTGCAGAGTGTATTATACCCATACCATTGAATCTAAAAACAACATAAATAATAAGAATAAGGTAAATTAATGTAAAGTATGTATTTGAGTGGCATCTTACATATGAGTAATGTATACTATTGTATAAATTCAAAATATTATAAATGTACTAGAATCATAGCCTAGTAATGGATAAAACGTAAAAAAGAAAGAACAATTATATAAACCAGGAAATCAAACAATGCATTAAATATATTATTGCTATGTTCAATCTGTCAAGTTCAGCATAGTGACTTACCCAACTTTATAAGAGCCTTGTGTTGGAACATTACTGAACACCTCCCTATCTTGGTCTTCATCTGTAAGTTTATGTGGATGATCTGTGGCATCATTATGTCGGGCCAGATTACATCTTATTATTGCACTACCTGTATAGTTGCATAGCTGTTAAAAGAAAAAACTTTAGATTATCCAATAGTATTTTATAATATTAGTATAGATAAAACACAAAAGGGAGCTACAGAAAAAAGCATTGTTCAACTTATTTATAAACAGAAATAAATGACTTTAAATCATATCTTAGATCAGACTTCTCTCAAAAAGCTAGCAGATCAGCATAGGCAAACTATTTTTTTTTTTCGAGGAATTGCTTGTTAGATATTTATATAATGTTTCTAAATAAGTAGATATACAACATTAAACAAATATATAATAATTATTAAAATAGTTCCAGGTAATAAGAAACTAAAGAGTATATTTTAAGTTTTCAATGTATTTTTCATCCTATTAACAAGTAATAAATTCTTGATAAAGATTTTAGTAATACAATAACAATATAAAAAACTCATCATATTTGCTTCAGCCAAATTTTTTACTTGCATGGCTTAGATAATGCAAGTGACCTTTTCTTGGAACTGATAACATTTGTATTTATCAAGTTTAATATGTGGTTAGCAATGAGTCACCATTTGCACTGTACTTGTGAATAAAAATAATTTGTCACTACAAAAGAAGTTTTAATATTATCTTTTTGTTATGTAGAAGTCAGATGGCCTATGGTTTAACAGTTGACACACCTGGAGGTACTAGGTTCAATACCAAGTAAAAATTTGAATTGGTTGACATAGAAACTTGATTTTCACCTAGAAATGTGACCATTAAAATATGAGCAGAAGGCGTACTCTATTCTTAATTCAACGGTTAAGATAAAAGTTATGTTTTGAAGGTAAATAGGAAAATACTGTGAGTTTTACAGAATTTTTTAATTCTACAATAATTGATAGTCAAAAACACTTCACTCAGCAATGTGATTAGTTGATATAATTAATGTCTTCATTCACATTACATACATTATTATGTATGTTTAAGTCTAAATCCATTCCAGTTCATTAACATAATCGCTTACAAATCTTTGAAATGGTAAATGGTAGAAAAATATTTGGTATTTTGGTAATCACTGAAACATACTTAAATAATAGTTACCTCAACAGTTGGATGAGTCTTCAGTTTTCCTGAAACTGAGTTCCTTCCAAGCAAACAACCATGTGTTCCCAACATTTCACTTCTGTACCGAAATCTAAAGTAATCCATGGGCTGTTCAATAATTTTGAGATATGGCTTATTATCTGTGAAATTCATTGCTTTTAAAGGATATAATGAACATAAGTCAGGTTTACAATATTTATAAAATATGATACCAAAAGACAAAATATTGGACTTTTTGCAACTTTTACATTAGGTAACAACAAATAAATTATTATTCACCTTTACTACATTTCATGTAGAGTGTTTTTAGTGAGAATTCCACAACACAAATATCATTATACTATCTAAAAGTGCTATTAAGAAACTTTTTCTTTGTGTCTATTTACGAACGGTATAGCTTAAAAGCCAAGTAGTAAGAAAATTTACCTGTATAACCATCGTCACACCTCAGTTCCGTAAATCCATTGGCCAGGTTGGGAACCATACGTGTTGGTGATGAATATGGTGAGTACTGAGACCCACGAGAATAAGGAGACTCCAAGTTTGATACATCACTCATATCGTGTTCACTCGACGACATGTTTACAATACAGTTTATTTAACAATTTGAAAAAAACACTACATTCGCTATCACTTCAATGTCCACCAGGGTTTTGGAAACAAAAAATAATTAAACTCAAGATTTTAACACTTGCAGACTTCTCAGGATGCAATTTTGTTTTGGTCAAACTTGAAACTTGAGACTTATTTGAAAGTTGTAGTCAAGTCAATGTAGTTAACTGCCAATCGTGACAGCAGTGACTCTGTGTGAACATTTTATATTTTTTAACAACGCATAATCGCCAAGCATGTTTATTGCTATAATAACATTTTTAAAGATCTCGATAAGCTTAATGATTGTGATTATTTTTAAATTTACTAATAATTAATTTGTTTATAATCAGAATATTCTAACTACCTAATATTTAAAGAGACATATTTACTGTTGCTAATTGCTTTTTTATCGCTTGCTATTAATTTTAATTAGTTTTTTAGTAAGTGAGGATACACACAAAGTACACAATAAACGATAAAACAAATTATTATGAGATGCTATGATGATGGGAAATTCCCCAAATTGGTCACCCTCGTTGGTTCATCGGGAAAGAACCTATAAAGAATGAGTCACAAAAATCCCCGTTTCCGTCTAGGTATATACGTGGCTATCATTCACTCGACTGGACTATAGATATAGATAGGTATAGGTAGTTACATCACTTCATTCAAAATATAATTATAGCCATTACCTACTTACTACTTAGTATGGCAAAACCACTCAGCAAGGGCGGACACAGTCAAAGTTAAAATTTTTATGAAAAAGACGGTAAATACCTACGAATATACGCATTTGTGGAAGCCGTTTTCTTTCCCTTTCTTTAATTGCATTACATAGATGTCGAATTTTATCAGGCCAAATTCCTATTAGGTACCTCTAGGGTTGATTTGAGTGACATGCACAACATACCTACTATGTATTTATAAGCAAAACCTATTCACAGCATAAAGACAAACTGACAGAGGCTATGCACATGGGTGTACCCGGTACCGACATGTGGCTTGAAAATGCAATTGTTTCCTTATCACACCTAAGGACAAGGAAGTTCAAAGATCTCATTCTTAATTTTTTAAATTTTTATTGTTACATATAACTTTAACGTATATATAACTGATTTAGGTATATATATGCTTATTTTATATCTATCTATCAGTCTTGTGTCGCTTTAAAAATAAATCACCAGGTATTGTGTATTCAACATTTTTTAAAATAAAATATTAGATAGTCGTGCAGCGACACCCAGTAACGTGCCTGAGCGCCCTAAGCGGACATTTTGCGAGATCTCGTGATATTTTTCGAGATCAATCCCAAAGCGAAAAATGACGAGAACTCGTAGGATTAACGAGATAAGCGGCAGTATAGTAGATATCATAAAAGTTAATCTCTTCGATGACCTAGGGTATCTCTGGGCGTCGAATAACAAATGAAAATCCCTAAATTATAAAGATGACTTGGAACACTTAAAAGGCGACGAATTTTTCCATTTGCCTAGCAAATATATCGTACGGAAGGACTTTAAAAAACAAACAATTATATATCTCCACTATTGGTAATGAGATCAACACCGCAACAGAAAACTAAGATGAATTGCCTCTTTTAATTATTGGATTTGAATTTACGTCCTGCTGTTATAATAAAAACCATCACGACTCTTCATTAGGAATAAGAAGAGAGTGAGAGCAGCTAAAAGTCCTTCAGGTGTTTCTGCGATAAATATCTAGGATAGGTAGAAGTTATTCTGATAATTACCCTTTATTCAACACTGCGAAGGCGTGTATTATAATAACTAATAATATCATAAGATCTAATATTAGGTTAAGAACTGAATACTTATAATATGTTTAGTGATTTATTATAAATAATTTGTTAATAAATGATAGGAACAGGTATATTAAATGAGTTACGGGAAATATACCTTTTTAGGGCCACCAAATAAGCTTTAGAACTTAAGCTTGTTCCAAAAGTATGGCGCGTGTTGAAAAGCAAACAAATATTTTGCACTCCTTTTCTTGCAGTTATATAAACAGTAGCCCTCCTCTACACCACATTTCAAAAATAATATCCAGACTTATCTAATCTCTATCCACGTGAGCTTATCGCTAAAAAACATTCATAACAACCAAACTACAAAATAACGATATAAAACAGCATGTCCTTTGCAACTGTTTTGCAGAGGAATTTGTTCTCTTAAATCGGAAGTTATGTCATTGCTGTTCATTTAAAATCATACATTACTATATACAAACATTATCAGCAGGCTCTAAGTTTTTTTTAGCTTAGAGAGATGGCTACCCTCCTTTTCTAAGATTTAGTCAAATCATTTCTTCATATAGCTAACACAATGTACACTTATGAACGTCAAAAAAGAATTATACATTAAATGCTTCTAATTTTACATTTACTGCCAGTTCTCAAATCAAGGGCGTAGAACGGAAGAGAAGAACTGGCAATAAACTCTCCGCCACTCTTTTTAATTAGTTTTTTGTTTTACACAACGTTTGTAAGGAGCTGCAACCATTACACCATGTTCCACATGACATCTTAAGTAATTAATAATAATAACCTTAATTAAAAACAAAGCTTTGTCCTCTATCAGCGGGAGGCATGGTGAAATAGAACCAGTTTCTAGGCACCCCTGAACTCCGGGGCGCTGGTGCACTAAGTCACTGGCGAGACCTACAATCTACGCCTACATACACTACGATGACGTTATACCCTGAAAGGCACAAAATTATTCCTATCGCTGAGATATATAACTTTTCGACTATAGCCAGTAGTTACTGGTAGTATCCATGATCCCTTTAGGAAACAACACAACATCCTTCCTCCACAGCAGTGACGTATTGATTCTTAAAAAGTACTAAGTAGTTTGTTACATATACATTGCACCCCCTTTGCCCCGCATAAGCAATACCCCTCTGACGCAATAGCATTATAAAAGGAAGCAGACAACAGACATAGATAGCCGGCTGCGCGCAGCGAGTAGAGACCACGTCTCCCCGCGCACTGCAACCCCCATCAAGGGCTATACACTATACAGACCACCCCCGTACCGCCCTGTATTAGCAGGGCGCGAACAAAAACACCACCCAAGGGGACATATGCCCCGAACGGGCCTAAACAACCCCCTCGCGAAGGAGGGTGTAGCAAAAGCTACCCTTATATAGATAGCTTTGATCGGATACCTCAATTATCGGACCGGTCAAATCCTCAAAGAAGTAATAAGTCTAAAATATAGTTTATTGATCGGGTACCTTATATCGGGCATTGTCATATTTAATTAAGTTCAATAATTATAATAGTTTCATTAGTAAAGTAATTTAAATATATTTAGTATTTTTTGGGATTCACCGCTGTCACTTAATCATTGTTTCCCTGGAATCCAAGGTCACAACATCTGGGTTATTATTATACCTAAATTTTACGGGATTAGATAAAAGAACATTAGATGGTGCCTTAAACCCGTGTTTTATATCAAATGGTAATATTCTAAGTTCACTGACATATTTATTGACTTATCGGTAGATGGTAACCTTACATTTATCCCAAGAGCTTTCACCTTATGATTTTAATTTCGTAAATAGGCAGTGGCGTAACTATGCCATCTGGGACCCGTGGCAATTCCTTTGATGGTGCCCTAACAGTAAAAATCAGTTTAATTTTAATAAACTTCGAGATTTTCAGCGTTCTCAATTACACATTTACACGTAGTATATATCCCACTAATGGCCATAGACCTCCTCTCTTAGGCGAGAGGTGTATATAATATAATGGTCTGTAGTCCCCACACTAGCCCAATGCTTATTGGAGACTTCACATTTTTCCATAGAACATAATATCTCTTGGCCAGGACCCCTCTTGGGTCGGGGGCCCGTGGCATTTTGCCTGCCTTGCCACCATATTGTTACGTCACTGTAAATAGGTATTTAATTATAATTATAATTTGCATCGCTTATCAAAAATAAGGAAACAAATCAATGCAATTGGTTTTGATTATCTAGGACTGGGTCCATCCGACATACAACTTTTAACTACTCGATTTATAGTTGACAAAATATATGTGTACCAACGAGCCAAAGCTTATAGCGATTAGAGAACAAATTGTATTAATACATTAATCTGGTACATTGCCTTGTAAAAGTAGTAAGGCGCTAAGATTACCCCTTTAACCCTTGTAGGTATTATAGAAGGCCATTAATTTTAACGTTAGACTCTTAGGTTGAAATTCAGATGGAGACTGCGAGCTATAGAGTCCCTTATGATGGTATCTATAATATGTTTGACCGTAACCGTTTACCTTTTTTCGGCGACAAGATTCGTAATCCGACCGAATTTCCACAACATGGATGGTGAGAATGTTAAACGAAAGTCGGTCGTACGCTTCGTTCATTGGTTAACATCTGTAGTTATCCCATCCTTTCTTGGTCAATATTTTGTTTAAGAGATGATTCAGTCCATTTAATGCGTTAATAACAATAACTTAACTACGTTGGTAGAGTTAGTGTAAAAAAGGACAAGAAAATTAACTTTAACCCTTTGGAGATTTCGCGACAGTAGAGGTTGTCAATCACGGTTACTACCATGTCCAATATGTTTTTGGAGCTGCACCAGGCACGGGACACACCAGGGAGTATATTCGTAAAAAAGGAACCAAATTAAGGGAAGTTGATTAAAAAAGACTTTATACTCTTAAACTTTATTGCACTTAAAATTATACCCCTAAGGTTAACATTCAGAAGAAAGAAACTGGAAGCGAAGTATCCTCTGTTAAAACACGTTTTTTACTTCCCGTCTCTCTTCTGAATATTACCCTAAAACGGAATGTTAGATAAAACTTAATTTTATATTTCGATATTGTTTGCAGAACTTCTGTAGATTAACACTATTTAATAAAAAATATATCCCTAAAATTATAAAAAAATACGCCTTAGAACGCGTATTGAGCTACATACAATATATAAAATATATTTATACGCAAGCATGTCTTAAATGATTTCTATAGTAAATTTCAAATATACAACGGTTATAAAACTACCAAAAATATATATTTGCCTTTAGTTAAAGCAAATGTTTATAGCAAGTTAAATACGTATTGAAAAAACCTAATTAGCCTTGTGACATTGAAAGAACTATTAAATTATACTGGATTCTTATATCTAACGAATCGTAAATTAGTGGTGGAATAGTCGTAGCGTAGTATGCGCAAGAGTGATTTTATGTTCGTCACAGGCCTTTATCACTTCTTGATCGTTGTTGGAGCCAGCCGGGCTTCCGATGTATTCCACACCAACCTATAAGATTTATTGTACTCGATTAATGAAAGTTCAATAGCAATTTTATAACAGATTTAATTAAATCATTCGCATTTATGTTCGTTAAAGATTTTTTTTAATAACTTTATATGTCAGAGAGTACTGACTTAAGCCGGCCCTCATCCCGAGGTTCGTTCGAATTACCGCTGTGCACCAATAGTATCACCTTCTATGTGATGTGTGCAATAAGCGCCTGCTGCTATTGTGAAGGCAAATCGTGAGGAAACCGACATGTATCAAACCTAAAATGCGGTGACATTTGTCAGACACAGCAGGCTGATCAAATGTTTGTCTATCGAAGGAGCGTCTCTCATTTGAGGCCCATGTAGAGTTGTAGCGGCATCAATATTACGTAAGAAAATAGAGGAGTAATAACATACGTCGAGTATTGCGGAAGCATGTACCATTTCGTAAGGAGAATATATTATATACAATATTATAAATTAACTAGCTGCTCCCGGGAACTTCGTTTCTCCTTAATGTGATTTTACTTCGCCTAACTTTTTAGTACATACCAACGTGGAACAATTTGCTTTGCTACCCCAGAGACTGTTCGGTTTTCCGGAATGAAAACTAAGTTAAAGGGTGTGCAATTAGTTTTTATTTTAGATATGAGATTTTATTGTAAATAAATAATAATGTTAGACTTGAAAGCTTGAACGATTGTAAATGCATTTATGCAGCCACGAATGCCGTTTATATGAGTACTACACATATAAATAATGTAAATCACATGTATATCCGTTAAAGACGCCTTTATTTAAAATTTATTGCTTTTTTTATAGTAATTCGTAAATTATTTTGTAGTTTTATAAAGAAAGCTTTATAACGTTCGTAATAGGATGACATTAATAAAAAAAAAGTGTGTTATTTCATGTGAAACTGATGGAAACTGTTGTTTTTCAGCCTTTAAAACACGTGTTTAGCTGTATGTTTGTTCATACATTTCTCAAAAACTATGATTCGAATCAAGCAGACAGTTTTTACTGTCTCCTGTCACGATTTTTTAACTTTTCAGTTGACTTTAGGCCGTTTTTTTTAATATGGCTTCGACAAACGCAGAGAAGAAGAGTTCAACTAACCTGTGCAGCTCTATCAATATTATCTCTAAATGGGAAGAAGGCGTCAGATGCGAGAGCGACTTTGTCCATCTTTTTAACCCACTCTTCGCGTTCCGCATCGGTTAGTAGGGCGGGCGGAGCATCTTCGAACAGACTGTTCCATTGTTCGAAGGGCAGATCCGATCCTGAAAAATATTTATAGTTGTACTAAAAAGATTATTATAAAGATTTTTGTTTAAATTATCTAAGTTCGCTTCAGCAAGAATAATTATTTAACAAATATTAATTCACGTAACGTTTATGAAATAACATTTCTACGTGTGGTATCACTATGGATAGAGATTCTATCAGAAACATTAATATCTTCTTAATTGTGCACTTCTTTCAGAGTGTTCGTGGTCGATTTCTGGTCCACATCGTTGACCTGCTCGCATTACTATAATCTCCACTTTTGTCAATTCTCCGCATCTCGACGGCACTGTTGCAGAGTGGATCCAGTTGTTACACTAAAAAAATCAGTCTAACGCATTGGAGATCAGTTACTCGCACGTTTCCCCTCCACGTGGCAATGGATGGCAAGCCTCTAAAGAATTTTCATTCCCGTTCTTTACCATCCGTAATTCTACAAGCGACGAAGTCTTTTCAGTATTTGAAGTTCTTAGAGGTTGGAACAACACTAGATCTCTAGCGCATCAACCTTTCGCCGGTCTTCTAATTGTATCGACAAGGTTTGCGCGCCATATAGGAAAATAGGAAGGACCAGACTGTACATAAAGCGAACCTTTGTCTTTTTGGTTATTCGGCTGTCTCTCCAAACTTCACCCAACCGCTCAACTGCGGATTTCGTTATTTGTAATCATCTCCGTATTTCGTCACCCTCGAACTCCCTCCTGTGTTCTAGATTGTAGCTTCAAGCTACGTAGTTTTTTATTCTAAATTGCTACGTCGTTATGTCCAGGTATTTTATTTTCGTTTTATCTCTGTTCAGGGTGAGTCAAAATTGGACACTAGTTGCTTCTAGACAAGACAGTATTCATCTAGAATCTAGATTCTCCTTTGTCTGGGCAAAAGTAGTTGTCTTAGGTTGTTAATCACGCGATCTTCAACGGAGATTCCCTTATTCCAGTCCTCCAGAGTAGATGTTAAAGAGCTTATTCTTTACAGGAGTTCGGCAAGGATGTACCTACCTAGGTCACATAGGATGTACCTACCTAGGTCACATAGGTTGACTGTTTTAAATTTAGTGAAGGAAAATCTATCCTCATACAACCTTTTAATGAGAGAGATAAGATGTCGTCGTACTTCCATTTCCAGTTTTTACTGGAGAATTTTTTCTCCAAAGACATTTCCATATGACGTTTTCAAATGCCTTCCTAATGAATGAATATTGTATGGCTGCATTCATGCTTTAGTTAAATTTCATTTCCACCACTTTATTTCTTTTCGTTCTTTTACTAGTGACCATTTGAAGGTTGAGATTCTGAAACCGCTTTCATTACATATTTCTTAGTTGAGGTCTATTTGGGTGATTCTTTCACACTTCCAAGCGCCATGAATCGTGCTTGCTTCCGATTGGGTTATTGGGCATTCTGGTCCATTATTTGGTTGAAGTCGGTGATTCGCTAAGTTTAAAGGTTATTATTCTATTCCTAATGGGATTATAGCCAAGCACACAGCTGTTCCAACGCTGAGGAATTGCGATGACCACTCCAGAGAAACGTTATTATTTTCAATGAATAAAAATTGCAATTATTGCTGAAAATCCATAACAAGATCTCCGGACAACAAAAATTTCTGTGATGCCAACTAAACCACGATGGTGGCAGTCAGAATGCGAGCCAAAAAACAGTTTTCTTCCTTCTGATCTTTATATTCTGCGTTTAAACTAATTAAAATTAAAATTATGAGAATTTGAATAAAACAGAATATTATTTAGAAAAATTTAAATAAAGTTTCACTCACCAATTGTACCACTAACATAATTGTCAATAGCATTCGCCTGAACCGCCCTCGTGACTCCAGGCTTAAAGCTCATGGCGAGGACGCGTGGGTGGTGCCTCATCCACCACAGGGCAGCCTTGCCACCTGCCAGTCTGGTGCAGTGGATGCGAGATTGTTGACCAGCACCAATACCTATCACCTGTAAAAAACATTCTAATGAGGCTTTTCTTAAGTCAGAAATCTCAAATCTAAGTCAGTTTGCAAATCGATTGGTGCCTTTGTAAAGAATACACTAATAATGTGGTCTTAGGGTAAAATTCAGAGCCAGATAAAAGTATATCTCCCGTCAAATAGGATACGTTTTTATCACGTAGGAGTCATTTAGGACTAAGTCAAACATGTACTGGATTTTGTCATAGGGAAGTAATAGTTTGGGCTAAGTCTCGACTATGACTCTTAGGCCCATTCTCCACTGCTCCGGTCCGGCGTCGGATACCGGAATGAGTCATGAGAAAAATATCGGAAGGCCGGATTGCGCTTCTCCTATATCCGATCCGACAATAATCGATACTTGTATATTTATCATGAAACACTTATATTAACTAAACCCCATATACTTTATTTTATTAATAAAACGTTCTAAATTCCGAATATTTTATTGCCCTGGTAAGTTTATTACTTTTTGTATATTGTCTATCTTAAAATATTATAATCTACTTAATAAATAGTTCACTAATACTATGGCATAAAAATATAAATATATAGCAACATAATTTGGTTTGGTCCAGGTTATCCAGATTCTTTCAAATAAAAGAAACTATAAATAAACCTGTGAATAATAATTTATAACCTCTTGGATACTAGGATATACTTGGACCGATAAAACACCGCGTTCCGATCTAGCAAGTTATCGGATCGTTAAAAACCGGATGCCGGAGTAGTGGAGAAGTACGTAAGGACTGTTGTGAGTTTCTAAATCGGATCGGTAATTAACGTTTGCCGGACCGGAGCAGTGGAGAAACGGCCTAACCCTATACCTTTTGTCATAGGTTTGTGCATTTGTTACATTTCTTACATGTTAAGAAAAACTAACAACTTTTAACAGAGTTCACTGCTTTAGTCGACATTAAAATCGAAAACACCGATCCTTTATTTCACGGCTAGGATTTTTAAAGATAATGTTTAGATTGATTTACCACAGGCTGGTCATGTGAGCGTAAATGGGCAATCACAAGTGCCTACATATGTAGATAACTTTAGTCAGGAGAGTTCTTCAATAGGTATAATGTTATAACCATGACAAAACAAAAAATTACCGACCAAATGACTAAAACTTTTGTCAGAATCGGTTTTGTGCCCTAATTTTTATGGTAAAGTATGCTTCGTTATAGTAAATAAGTATATACATATACGGACGGCCCGCCCCGTCTTCGCACGGGTGCAATGCTGATACTAAATTCAAAGTGCTATAGGTATAGGGAGAACCGCGGCCTCCGACGCGTCATGTCGCGGCGCGGCCGGCCGGTACCGCCGCAAACGCTACGTCCCGCTATTTTTAAATCTGTGATATCTTCGAAAATATTCATTTAAATTTTAAATCATATGGTGTAAAGGGCAATATATATCTATATTAAATCAACAATGTAGGTATTTAATTAGATAAGGATTAATGTTGTATTGGTTAAAATCGCTTCGAAAATTAGCCATTATTTGTCGTAAAAAGTAAATGACAAAAATATTTGATTTTGGGATATCCATAAGAGATAGACATAATATACCATCGCGGAGTTTTCTGTAGACCTTTTCAATGTGTACAATACTTAGTACTTTATTTTGATAAATCTCGAAGGGTTCAGCCTGCGTTTTCAATGTAAGCGGAAAAAAATTAAATTATTTACGACATCACATTAGAAACCTCAAAAATAATAGTATTTCTCCACTATTTAATGGATGTTATTATACATATAAAGTATAAACCTTCCTCATCAATCACTCTATCTATAAAAAAACGCATCAAAATCCGTTGCGTTTTAAAGATTTAAGCATACATAGGGACAGAAAAAAGCGACTTTGTTTTATACTATGTAGTGATAGTGATGTATATATCTTTGTATAATTATTTCTCTAATACATGAACTATGCAAAATCCAAGCGTATTTTTATTTTGATTTATCATAGAAATAAGACTAGATAATGTTGCCAGGAATATAATATAAAATATAATACTTATATTAAATATTACTTACGTTAAATACACAGTTCAAATTATTTCGTATCAACCGCCAACTACTCCAGTGATAAAACATAAACCAACAAAATTTTTTACATCAAGAAGTAGCCCTAACAATAACTGTACAATAGAGAGAGTAAAGCCAGGAATGAGAAATACTATGTGTTAGAAAGGGATAAAAAGTGGGCGGTGCGTGCCACCCAGAGCGAAAAAACCGTCATAGCGACGCTTCTACATTTTGATTTGGGTGTATGTGTAATGTGTATATTAATGGTTCATATATAATTATAGGGCATATATCCATTGTTATGTGACCCTTTGATTACCACCGCTTTAGTTATAAAATCGGTTTTTAAACGTGGTCCAATGTCATACTTAAGCAAATTTTTCTCAAATTTATAAATAAAAAATAATAAAAGTAATTTCTAAAGTATAGTACTTTTATTATTTTATATTTAAATGGTCCGTGAACAGACTTGTTCCGAGAACAAACTTTTCTTATTTGCTTTTTGAATATTTTTTTTCAAATTTAAAATAAGTGTTGTTTGATGATTTGCTATTTTAAAAGAGTACCGAGAGCTTTTTACGCCGGCTTTTTCTCTCGGCCTACACCCTCTGTCTTCTTTGCCGATGAGTAGGGATGCCTACAAATTCCAATTTAATGACGTGGAATAAGTGATACATATATCTTATGTTCCATAATAAACATATTTTATTTTTATTTTATTTTATTAAAAATAGCGCATGCATGCTGCGAAAACTTTTCTTGTTACAATGATTAGAATTCAGTCGTATATTGTTTTTGATAAAATCAAGCAATTCATAAAATTCGTTGGTAAGATGGTATTTTTATGCTATTTCTCCAGTTACAGAACTAAATCAGATTCAAACTAATTAAAAAAACCTAATATTTTATATTTTTTTTATATGTAATATATTTAGGTAAATTTTTTTGTGTTCAAGGGACTAAACGCTAAGTCTTACTTCCGTACGTCAGAACGTCAACGATTTTGACATACAGGTGTTCGCGATAAGTGTCGTGTCTGAATCTCACCATAAATGCCAATGTCCCGCAGATAGTTATAGATTATTTGAAAATGTCCAAATTTAATAGGCCGATACAGCAGGTAGAATCACTTTATATCTATAAAGTAATACATGGGTTTGCTACCTGAATTTCCTCAAAAGTAGGAGGAGTGAAAGGAAAACTATGGTCAAAATGCGTCCCCGACCTGGGTAGGTACCTGAGGAAATTTCCGTTCTAAGGACGATTGTAGGTAAATGAAATTTAGAATTGAGCAGTGTTGGCCTAGTGGCTTCAGCGTGCGACTTTCATGCCTGAGGTCGTAGGTTCGATCCCCGGCTGTGCACCAATGGACTTTCTTTCTATATGCGTATTTAACATTTGCTCGAACGGTGAAGGAAAACATCGTGAGGAAACCGACATGTCTTAGACCCAAAAAGTCGACGGCGTGTGTCAGGCACTGGAGGCACCCTACTTGCCTATTAGATTTAAAAATGATCATGAAACAGATTCAAAAATCTGAGGCCAAGAGCTAAAGAGGTTGTAGCGCTACTGATTTTTTTAAGTTTAAATGAAATTTAATTGTCTGGCGTAGTCTATCTATGTACTTATAATCGTGTATTATCGAATAAGGGTGACTGACACACAATGACTCCTTGACACCCAATTTTGATCTCAGGTCTCGTTTGTATATTTACTAGCTGACCCAACAAAAGTCTCACCATTAGATTATCGCAGTACTAATATTGCTATTAAAAGTGGGTTGGCGGTATAAGGGTGAAAATTTCAGGTAAAGAGCGTTAAGTATTACGTCACGCAATTTTTTGGAGATTCATGAAAAACGTTCTATACTTGTGATTCTGTTTATTGCATAATATGTATTATGTGCATTCACATCCTGGACAATATAATAGGCTTTTCTTAATTAGCTATAAAACTATATGGATATACAGTGTAAACTCTATATAACGACACTCAAGGGACTGTGCCTCTTTTGACGTTACAAAGAGTTGTCGTTAAATAGAAAGAAAACATATATGTATAAAGACTAGTGTTAGTAATTACATAAAAACATTTCTTATTTGAACGCTATTGCGTATTAGTCTGTTATTTTCGTCGTCTTTTGCTGCAACAGTAATTATGTTGTATTTTTTACTTGTTTTATTCATATCTTGCGATATTGAGGCATCTCTGTAATAAAGCACGTGTCAAGCAATCCCAATTTGTAAACAAAAGAACGGATTTCTTAAAATATTCTATACGTATGATACCGACAGTCGAGTTTTACGAGCTAGGACAATACAGCGGCAAAAGAACGTACACAGTTCCGCAGTTTTAACTAATTTCGGCAACTTAAAAAGTACTTTTAATTATTTAATTGTCGTTATTGAGGGTGGGTGTAATGCTATGTAGAGTGTAACATTGTATGGAAGACAAGCTTAACCAACCATAGCCGAGTGATGACGACGCTTTAGGGGGTTTGTCGTTAAATCGAAGGCCGTTACATGGAGTTTACACTGTATATATATAAAAATAATAATAATCCTAAAAATAAATTAATAATAATCCTAAAACAAAATAATAAGTTTTCTTATCACTATTCTATAATTATTTAATTCTATGTATTGTCGATGTGAAATGAGCGCACCCTAAGTATTTTGAATCCTAAAAGCTGAACGAAGCGCAGTTATTTTTTTTATAAAACTACCTGGCTTCACCGTTAGGGCATAATAGGAGGGGCTTGAAAAAGAATTTGCTGTATTGAAAGTAAATATCCATATCGATAAATGATAAATGAAATCTTGTGATACAAAGTTCAAACTAAGTTTAAGTTTGGCTAAGTTTTTGTTTAAGTATTATTGTCTACATCTATTGATTTACGTAATGTTTAAGTTACTTGACACTTCACCGATCACGAAATATGGCCACAGAAAAATCATACTTACAAGTTACACGCGTACCATTACATCTGTTATTGCATGCACTTTAAACTATGAAATACAAAATATCTATAACTTTAAATCAACCTTTAACCCTAATTTTATATACTTAACATTACTGTCATTTAGTCCTGCGATAGATAACATAATTTTGGGATCTCATCGCGTCTCTTATGTGTGAGTGAGACGGCAAACCATTCTAGAAAGAGACAAAAGCGGAGGGCCAAAATGCCCACGCACCCACGATCCCAAATCTGCAATTTTGTTGTGGGTCCACGTGAACCCTTAAAAGGTTTAGGTTTTACATAAAAGGGACTATAGCCTATTTTTATATAATAATTGGGACGTACATTGACCCAAACCCCTCGGTAGGAAAAGGTATACCTATTTAATACACAAAACAAACCCACCTCGGAGGTACCTTCAGAGTTCAGACTAACATAATATGATAGGAAGTTCCTATGAGATAACACTCTAATTGAATCTTTGAAAGTATCAATAAATAAACTACGATTATATTTTAATGCCACGTGCTAATGTTCTATGCGTCTGTTTTCAAAGCCCTATTCATCTATCAAACAAACTTTTACAATAGTTGGGGACTATTACAATAACTGCAGATGCACCAAAAAAGCATCACAAAGTATAAAATATACTTAAATTTTAGTTAATTGAATATTCAATCATATCACCCATATGTATTGTTTTAAGATCATTATTCAAATACGACAAATTCATCCACACATGCTCCGTTTATTGCTTACATAAAAAGAATTCCCAAACAATCCTATAACAAGCTGTTAGATACCCCAAAAATAGCGAATGTTCTTGCCCTTATATAAGTGCAAAAGGGACAGAGATATAATTACAATAGTGGAGTGCATGTACCTTATCAACGCGAGTGAAAGAGATAGAAAAACTAGTTTGTTTTGCTCCCAGTAAATAGTGAAGCATTATGAATATTGAATATTACGAAATCAGTTGCCAACTATCTCTCAGTCGAGACACAACGTGTGAACAGATGAAATAATTACGTGGACGTTATTACTCGAACTTTATCGGAAAATAACAGGTACGTAATAAAATTTACAAATAGGAAATTATTGTGTTTTATCGTTTTTGCTACAAATATGTACTTAAAATTTTTTCTGGAATAAATAAATATGTTAAGTTTGACTATCTGTGAATTAAAATTAATACTAATTTGCTTTTAATGTTCAAGTGTGATATTATATTTGTACATAGTATTTAGGCTGGCTGGTTAGGCTTATTTTAAACTTATTAAAAGTAAACTTGTCAAAATGGCGCTGTACACGCATTTGACGGACGCGCGGTATTCCCAACGATGAAAACAAATTACCAGCGCCATCTTGGCATTCTTTGATAATAGTTTATTCGTAGAAAGTATTTTACTGTAAATAAATGCCAATGCCTCTCTACATATTATTGAACCATTACTCGTGTTAAACCATAGAGCGTTATTATAAATTAAATATTTTAAACAAAACGGACGCAATCTGCCAATAGGCAACTTGTAATTATAATAATTGATAATCAGTAAGCCGTATCTCAGTAAGAGCATAATGCATAGTGCTGAGCATGATTACGTCACAATGTAATTAGTGGTTTTATCATGAAGTTGGACAAATTAGTTTTTAATTAATGTTCACATTAGCGCCATCTACATGTATATATTACAATTAAATACAGCTGTTCGTTAGTAATGGCAAAACAGTTTAGGTTTCCTTTTATTTAGCATTTTACTACTTACTAATAGTTGTTGAATCAATTTATAAGATCTTGGGAATTGTGTTTAGTATATATTTTATTTGTTTCATTGAAAACATCTGTTTATGCATTAGGAAAAGATTAATTGATTTTAACTGCAATATAATTATTTTAGTATCGTTTCGATTTCAGATCTCAAATCAGACAAAATGACAGTTGGTCCTGAAACAGAAGACTCAGTATTTGGTTTTGGAATACCATCGTTGGAGGTAATTGTACATACTTAATCCTTAGTTATTTATTATATATTTTAGTATTACCATTTGACTGTATTACATATTTTTAAGAATGAGGAAGTGATGATGACAAAATTTACGGATGAGGTTCTTTTAGTCACTTCAAACAAATACAAAGTGTAGAAAAATGTCAACATAAAGGTTTTGGATTGATACAGTCAGCACTTGTAACGTATGTTCACCTCTGTACTCAGAGATCAAACAAACCACGCCTAATAAATGGATTGTCCGGTCAATTATTAAAATATTTGCATGCATTTACATTACTACCAACCACGGAGGTCTTCAAATGTAATCTATATAATATAAATGTTAGGTTTGTGTACGCTTCAAAAACTCAAAAAGTTCTGCACCAATCAAGCTGAAATTTTAGCATGATATATTTAGCATATTTAGCATCCAGGATTGTTCTAATCATTTTTTTTTGTTTTATATTTTTTCATTATTTTTTTCTACAAGTATTGCAAAATTAAACTTATATGAAATGTTTTCTTGGTTTTGTTTCTCATTTTTCAATCATTCAATCACAATGTGCCACAGCGAAGCACGGCAGGGAACAGCTAGCTACAGCTTTGTTATGATTTTTCTATTATGTAAAAAAAACAACTAAAATGTTATATTTTACAGGCGTTGGGAATCGAGAAATTAGAAAGCGAGAACCACGCCGCCCACCTACATCGTCCTGACACACCACCTGATTCACCAGAGCCAGATGAAAATGTTGCCAGAATGGATGCAAATATACAGAGAGGGAAAGAAAATATCGCCCATGTAGATGTTATCACTGAATTTTTCCGAAAATATCCCCAAGCAAACAATTCTTTCGCAGCAATCATGGATCTATACAGTGACAGACATTTGGAGGAATTATTGCGAAGGATTGAAGAAGATAACTTACATGAGGGTGATCCTATGAAAAGGTTCATTTTGATTTACAATTTCTATAAAGCTAGGGAAGACTTTGAAAGCGATAAAGATATTTTGATGAATGCATGCCTCGCTCGTATAGATGCAGGTGAACCGATATTATATTGAAGAAAAAACACGATAAACGTAGAGGAATTACTAAGTCTTACATAATGAGCAGTGTTGGCCAAGTGGCTTCTGCATGCGACTCTCATCCCTGAGGTCGTAGGTTCGATCCAAAGACAAACCAATGCTTAACTTGAATGTTTTTCTTATGAAAATAAGAAATTGAAAGTTCTCCTTTAGTTTCGTTTTAGAAACAGAGTTCAGTGTTAAAAAGGGCTCAGTACATCCTCTACGTTTATGGTAATTTATAAACTTAGCGATACATTTCTATAATTATAGTAAATTTTGATTCTCTGACTTACTGCCGAAAATATATATGTAATGTAGAAATAACCACTAAAATGTAACCACTTTTAGCAGTTTTCTATGCTATATTTAGAAACTCGACAATAAATGTTAATGCACAAATCAAGGAGTCGGAATTTAAAACAACGGATGGTCTATCATCTAGTTTTGCGATAAGATCCGAATTTTCGAAGGACCAATCACAAACAAACGAAACCAGCTATCGTATCGTCTTTTGTTTTTCATTCCTTCCTCCTGAAGTTAGCACAATGATATTGGTGTTGCGATTTTGGTGTTACTGCATGTTTACAGACAATGTATCCAGGCTATTTGGTAACCTGCTTCCATTAACACCAATATGCCCAGACTCGCGCAAACTACATCCAATCATGTTTAACATTTGTGCAAGTTCTAGCTACCTCACCGTTCTTCGCCGTACATTTTAAGACGAGTTTTTCAATTACAAAAAAAGCGTCGCTAAGTTATGTAAAGTTATAGTGAGCGGAATTTAGTGATATGTTGTAACTTTGTGATATTTTATCTAGGAGAGATAAGACTGAAAATATTGACGAATAGTGAGGCTTTAGGTTAAGGTATTATAAGTTAGATGTAAACGCTACTTTTTGATATAAACCGATATACAAACGCAAGTACAATTTTAATAAAATTAAAAGAAATGAAAAATTATGTAGTTAATAAAATGACAAGACCTACTCATAAAAAAAAACAATAAATTAAACTAAGTACTCTTTCTACAAATTTTCAATAATTTTATAAGAACTTTTTCTATCAACTCTAATTAATTTGATAAAGTAAATAAAAATGAATTGTGAATCAATTTCGAAAACTCTTGTGATTTTTGTTTTGTTTAAAATTTTATATGTGCGTAGTATTTATTGTGTATGTGCTGTGATTCGGTAATAAAGTTTCTATAAGTAATCTCAACTTTTATTTCTACCACCAATACATTGGTAGGAACTTTTACCGAGTTTTGCGTTCCAAACACAAAGTTAGTATTGCGACTAACCACCAGGGGCGCAAACCGAAGGAGCTTATCAATTAAACGTGTATTCTTTCTTTGTTTGTGCATAACTTCTCCCTCTGTAAACTGATGGATCTGGATAATTAAGGTGTTAAATAATTAGGATTAGCAGTGAATAGGTCCAGTCGATTTCTAAATTAGTCGTTACATTTGCACATAGATATTTGGCACCGACAATTATCTTTTATTAGTAAACCAATCAATAGAAATAGGAAATCTTATTATTTAATACTTTTTAGGGAATAGGAATTTCGGGAATTTTTTTTCAAATATAAATTCTCATACAATATTTTAAAAATAAATTAAAATATTGTATGAGGATTTTTTTTTCTCCAATTCGACAATGTAAAAATGTTTTATAAGCTTTAAGTTTTTAGAAATTGGTAATAATTTTAATTTGTAGGTGTAAACTTATTTCTGATGTTTTCATTAGAGAGTCAGATTTAAAGTATATAAAATGTTTTATAAGCAATGCAAAATAATAAAACAAGCCTTAGACTCGTATCTATTTATTAAATTATTTAAATAATTATCTAGGTAAAACCGCCTACTTAATAATCCCTATCAACGTAGATAGAGTATAGAACTAGATGAGCTTCTAAAATAGCAATAATAACTAAAGAGAGAAGGCATTAACGTGAAATACTTAAGTGCGAGCGAAACAAAGTATCAGTTTTTCTGTCTCTATTTGCGTATCGGGTTTTATTTGTTTACCACCGAGCCCTTGGTGGTAAACAAGTTTTCACCGCTTACTGATAAATCTGTGAAACCCAAGTCAAACCCATATTTTAAGACTTTATCCTTATAAGAGGTGTATTTAAAGTGTCAGTCATTGTGAATTGTTGCATAATTGGCTGTAAAAGCTATAGTGAACGTAAAGAACCAAACAACCTTTCATCGGTAAGTAGCTTATTTTGTCACGACTCAGTAACTTTGTTCAAGAATTATTAATTCGAATGTGTATTTTGGTCAATAATAAGCAATCTTCAATGAATTAAAACTGTAAATACGACATAATATGTCGATCATTCGCGTACAGCGTGTGAGATGTCACACGCTGTACGCTGATGCGCTATGCGCGTGTCTATACCATAGTCCATCTACGCCTATCAATTTCTACAGTTTTAAAGAAACTGCCAGTTACTTGACGTGAGATACGTTTTTAACTGAAGGTCGACAGACTGATGAAGTTAATACGAAATAAGACTGTAATTCTTAGCGTAAATTTAACAATTTGTGTTTAGTTTTTGACGTGCGAGAGATTGGAACGTGTCTATGAATTTTAACTTTACAGCAGATAATTTATCTTTTGACACTGTTTAAGACTGGTTTTGGCATGTGCTAGGAGATTTGTCATCTGTCATTTTTTATTTTATTCACATAGTTTATAAAAAAAATTAGTATTGTAGTGTACAACCTAGACATTGTTTTTGTGTCCACAAGGATGCCAAACAAATTTACAGAGCCACATGCTTGTGACGTGTCGATCGCGATTGGTAAATCAGTTGACGTTTGTGTCCGGCGCTGCGCAAACTTTCCCGCACTCCCTTGTTTAATGCTCAAGAAGTTAGCCGGTACCTATAGTATCTAGACACCCTATAAACACATTATAATAGATCAAAAATTAACCAGGGGATTAAAATTTGCCACTAACCTGTCCATCCTTGGCGTAACAGACCGAATTACTTTGCGTATATTTGAGAGCGATCGTAGCCACGACAAGGTCCCTCAAAGCATTTTCTGGTAAATTCGCATTCTTGGTCACAATGTTCTTGAACAAATCAGACGTGATCTTAGCATCGTTCCTCCTCTGTTCGAGAGTGAGACCAAAGATCGTCTTCTGTTCCATTAGATCTGGAGTAAAGCTGGGGTCCATCTGTAAAATCCCACTTTAGTTAAAACAAGTCCAAAGTCAAAAATCATTTATTCGGGAATAAATCGGCTTACATAATACTTGATCGGTCCCATAAATTAAAATTTATGTTTTGTGTGGCTTAATTTGGCTCCTGTTTACTTAAAACTAAAACATGATAAAACAAACCTGTAACACACAGTAGTTTCCACCTTTCTTCTTGCTCAGTATGGCTAGAGCCTCGGGGGTATAACCCGGAGCTACGATACCATCTGACACTTCCCGTGATATAATTTTCGCGGTGATTTCGTCACATACATCGGATATCGCTATGAAATCGCCGAATGAAGACATTCGATCGGCACCACGCGCCCGTGCGTACGCGCACGCTAGTGGCGTTAGTTTTGGAAGCAAATCACGCACCATACACACTGAGGCCTGGAATTAAGATTTTGAGAACTTAGGAAAAAAAATTATTGACAGCACATCTACGTCATCATAGTTAGATAATCTTGATACTTTATAATGAATAAATATGTATATATTTTGTGATAAGGAAGTGACGTCAATGAGAATTGTATTAGACAATAACGTCTATATATTTTTAATTATATAAGAACGTTATATATATGTTGCAGCCAACTAGCTTAATTAGCGGTTAAATCAACAGCCTAGCCTCTTTACTAAATAGCACCGTTCAACTAGCTGTCTGAATTATATTCGGCCGTAGCGTTTCTTAAAATATTTAATAAACTGGCTGGCTAACGCTTAGGCCATTCGTACGATCATGTGACAGAAATACCTAAGATAACTGAAACATCTGACATAAGAAATTTTTGAAGTTATACTTCTTTAGGCGCGTTATGAAAAATTGATGAGAGTGAAATTTTATGATGCGTGCGCACCGTGACACAAAATTAACAGAATGAAGTTGCCCACTAACGAATTCTTTTTAAACCAGCCGGGCGCCGAGCGTGCGCGAGCGAGATGGGAATTAGACAATCTACAAGTAAAAAGAAATAGAATATGCGTGAAGTTAGCAGCTATGCCAAGAATTTTGAATGACCATAATGACCTTTGTAGTACCTTTTAAACAAATAAAGGAGTTTTAATTATTTTTCCAAAGAAATTTAGCAATGCTTTTTCACAAAGACCTATTGTTACTTAGTTAAAAGGTTATGAAGCATACCTAGTTATTAAATTTAATGAATAATATAATAAAATAATAAATAATAATTATTATTAATATTAATTAATAATTGAATAATATACTAAATATTAAATATTATTAAATTATTAACGTTAAATATTGATTATTAATTATTTAATATTTAAAAAAAATAAAGAAAGCCAAAGAAGTATAACTTCTTACGCGCTTACATAAGTACACGCACCCTTTTTTACTAAATATATTTAAAATGTAACTTATTATAGTTCAATACGCTTACTCTTAGGGCCGATTCGACCAAACAAGAGTAAATCTTAATCTTAGAATAAATCGTCAGTTAATCGAGAGTAAATCAATTTTACGTTTTACCAACTACAAATTCTAAGAATAGTGGGCTTATTCGGGAATAGCTACTATACCGCCGTTTCGCACGGAATAACAGCTATTCCTAGAATAATTTAAAGGCGTCAGTCAGTCCAATCAGCTGCTTTCTGTCATTTCACAAATATGTATTCTGTATTTTAATTTCTAGTCAACGCAACGCACTAAATTAATAGTCTGGCATTGTATAATGAAACGTTTAAACAATTTATTATTTATTTATTTATTTTTAGATTTTTTATTTTCTATAATATTAGAATGAAATTCAACTAGGCTCAACAGAAGTTCCTTTTTAGACGAAAGCCTCAAACAAACAAGAAATAAAAACTTTTTGTTGTCGTTTGACACCTGTTAAAAGCTACTTTTTCACTCTATAATACGGCAAAATCGAGTTGACATGATGTATGCTCTTACACTGTCCCGTTGTAGAACAACATTTATTTGCCGAGTTTTATTTTCGTTCACCATTCTCTTGCTATTCGCGTATTGTTATTCCTAGCGCAATTATACTATCGATTACGTGGACAAACGACTATGGATTTACTCGAGATTAAAATCATGGAATAGATTATTCTTGGTATAGTTACTCGTGTATAAATTGAAGTTTGGTCGAATCGACCCTTAGTGTCACTACACTCTTCCATATAATTTTTCATTCAATTTTGTAAAACATCATCATATTTGATGTTTGCCGATGCTTTATTGACAGTTTGGAGGTGGCAGAAAGTGGAACTAAATTAAAATGAACAGGATAGGCAAGTAATGTATTATGTAACGTCATCGATCCAAGTCATTTGCCGTAGCTAGCTAGTAGTAATATCATTCAGGCTTCTAGTTGAACGGCGCTGTTTAGTAAAGAGAATAGGCTGTTAATTGAACGGCTAAGTAAGCTAGTTGGCTGCGACATATTCTTACTAAATAAAATTTTACACCCTCAGTACGTATTTCTTTATCTTTCTTTGTTCCCGGCAACCCTAGCAAAAAAAAAGTATTAAGTCATCAATTTCTCACCTCTTCCTCGGTAAGTGGGAACCCTACAGCGGCCCCAGCGGGCGACACATGCTTGAAGCTAGTCGCGGCTGGCAGCCCCAAGGCTTCCTTTAGCTCGCTAACCAATTGCCACGCGTTCAATGCGTCACAAAGGTTAATAAATCCGGGCGCACCATTTAATGTTGTTAGGGGCAATTTATCGCGGGTTGTAAACACCTGTGCTGGTTTCTGGTGGGGGTTCATACCTAAAAATTAGTAGTTATGCTATACTTATAGACAAAATAATTGAAGGAGGCTAAGAAATATTTTTGAAGTTATACTTCTTTTGGCGCGTTAGGGAATTTTTTTACGATGCACGCACACACCGTCACAAAAAACCGACACCCTGGATATCTGTTCAAAAGTCGGTAAAACAGTCTGGGCCGCTAGTTGGCGCTTGCTCTGTTTTATCGACAAGTTGCATTGTCTGTCATGGCGTAGAGTTTTTTAGAGTCGTGCTTATTTACACCAAAATAATGATTTTTATACGAGAAAACCTGTTTGAATGGGATAAAAAACATAGTGTTTATTGTAAATAAGTACATATTATATCGTTTAGATTGGAAGTGACCATTAAAATGAACAAGAAAAGTGCAATTCGAAGAGGGAAACTCTAAAGTCCTCGAAGAAAATTATTACGCCAAAGAAGTATAACTTCTAACACGTGTGCATAAATACACACACTTTTTGTTATGGGCGTAGGCAGAAGGTTAATCTTATGTTCAGTGACACTGCCGCCCATGGACATGTGTTACTGGTGTTTTGAAAATTGGTTTGGTTTCCTTTACGACCCTCGGATATACCTTAATGGGTTCCAAATTCCGCAATGGCAAAGTGTCTTAAACAACAGTTATGTTATCGAGGTGATGTTCATATTATAGTAACAGGCAAATTTAAACATAAATATATACTTTTTACATCTAACAATAAAGTATAATATATAAAATAAGGAAACAAATTCGCGAAAGGTGTAATCCTCAGTTCCAACGAGTGAAGCTTACGATTACTAATCTATTAGATTTATTCTAATTAGAATTTTATCGCACTCGCGAGACCTATCATTGAGTATCCATAACCGGCGGCGATATCACTTAACATCAGATGGGCCAACTGCCCGTTTGCCCCTTCTATAAAAAAGTTATTTACTCACCATATCTTAGGGTTAACTGAGATTCTCCAGCGGAATACTGCTTTCGGAAATAATCAGATATAGCTGTATCATATTGCGAAGTGTGCGTAAACGCCTTTAATGCCAATCTTTGCCTGAAAATAAGTACGATACATACTGTTATACCTTTAGTATGTAAGAGATATGGCTAACCTCTTGACTATCGAATATGCTAGATAATCAAAAGGAAAGCATAGGTATAAGAATACCAAGCCGGAGCAGGATCATTCGATTATTAGTGTCCATTAAGGTTACACCTGTTTCTTAATTATTATTTCTAAATAAATCATTTTGTTTTTTAAAAAATATTTCAAGTATCCGTATAACAGTACGATAGTCAGACTTAGAGACAGGTCTCGTTTATGAATCTCACCCATATATAAACATAAACTTCGCAATTTGTTTAATAAGATCTACTTAGCAACGAAATTACGATGTTCAAAAGTTCAAATGAGATAATTTTTATCTATTGGTCACGTAAACAAAAATATTTTAATGTCCATTAACGTCATCATACTATTGTGTGTAGTTTCCCAATGGTTTAGAATCACTCAAATAAAAAATATTTTTTCCAGTGCTAAGTTTCTTTAGAAAAGCGAATGATTTTAGTCCTTTATTCGTAAATGCTGAATTGTCAAATCACACCATCGTATTGACTAATATGCAATATATTAGTCAATACGATGGTGTGAACATATTTAATGAACTTTCCGCCATAGGTTTTATTATTTATATAAGGACCCGGAAGGGTCACCTATGTAGCTTTTATTTTTATTCAGAGAGAAATTTATGGTATATATTATTTGTATATGATATAAGTAATTATATATAAGGGATTTCTTTTTATCTTGATTGTTAATGTTTGCGCTAAATCAGTGTCAGTAGAATGACAATTTTCGATTTTGACTTTGATACATGAATCGGAAATGGTAGGTAGTGTTCCGGCGTATTATGGCGCAAGGATGAGTTGGAATTTAACAGCATTTTCTTTTTACTATTATTAAAGGATCCAGTGCTTGGAGTATGACACACCAACGTTGATGGTAAGTGCTAGTCTTAGTCTGATCGATTCTTGGATTCCATTTTTTATTATACTGACACGCGACAGCTGCACCAGCGCATAGTATTCTACCGAGAAAAGGGATCATGCTGGATATAGCTTCCGGATACCAAGGCCCACACAGTTAATATTATTAGCTAATTCTTGTGCAAAAATAAATAAGTTTTTTTTTTATTTATGTGTTGTTTTTTGTTTTTGTATTTATTGTCATCATAATTATCTCGTAAGGTTTGTGTTGTTAAGGAATGTGTTCTGTGTGGTCCTAAACACCAAGGTTGCACGCCTTCGTAATTTTTTTTTGCCCTTAATTTATTTTTACTGTTTAAGGAAGAAATTGCTAAGTTACCTAGTATCCAGCGACGTCTGGCGATCCTTGCTGTTCTTCAACTCATTGATAACCTTATCATAGTCTGTGGGGTCACAAATAACAGTAACTCTGGCATGATTTTTAGCTGCCGCTCTCAATAACGTAACACCACCAATGTCAATATTTTCCACAGCGTCGGCAATAGTTACATTCGGTTTTGAGACCGTTTCAACAAATGGGTAAAGGTTGCATACAACAATGCTTATCATATCGTACTTTTGACGTTTCAGATCGGCTTGGTCTGATTCTGTTAACCTGAAAGGTAGAAGTGATTCGTGTGTATATGCTTTTGATGAAGAAAAAACAAAGATACCGACACTTATAAAGATTCTTGGTGCTATGACTACCAAAATTCAAAATTTATAACAACTCTCATCCCTGAGGTCGTAGGTTCGATCCCCGGCTGTGCACCAATGGACTTTTTTTCTATGTGCGCATTTAACAATCGCTTGAACGATGAAGTAAAATATCGTGAGGAAACTGGCTTGCCTTAGACCCAAAAAGTCGACGGCGTGTGTCAGGCACAGGAGGATGATCACCTACTTGCCTATTAGATTGACAAATGATCATGAAACAGATACAGAAAACTGAGGCCCAGATCTAAAAAGGTTATAGCGCCACTGATCACTGACAATATCGTATTCAAACTTAAACTCAAAATAATGTTATTCTTATAGGTAACATAAATACACTTATGAACGTCAACATAATTTTTTTTTTAAATTGTTTCTGAATTTACATTTACTACCAGTTCGCAAGTCAAGGGCGTAGATCGGGCGAGAAGAACTGGCAAGAAACTCTCTGGCACTCTTTTTAATCATATTGACGTCAAATTATCTTACTAAAGCTATAACCCCCTAAGGTATTGGCCCTAAATAAATAAAACATATATATACGTATGTTATGTACATATGTATATATATGTACATTACCTGGACAAAATACCAGCATGGACGGCGGGGTGGAGAGACTTGACTCTTCCACCCAGCATCTCAGGTGCACCGGTAATATCTGACACATCCAAAACCTTAAGACCAGCATTTCGAAGAGCTGATGCTGTGCCTCCACTTCCAACTAGGGTAAGTCCTATCTCTGAGAGATACTTCGCAAGTGGAAGTAACCCGGTCTTATCGGAGACGCTCAAGAGAGCTGAAATTAGATATAGTACTATTAATGTATATATAAAATATAATTAATGTAAAATTATATGAGACATAAATAAATATTAAGTAAACAAAAATAGGTAATAAATTGACGTTGACGTTTAGTCAGAAAATTTAAATTTAATTAAACGAATTAATAATTAGAATCCTTGGCTACACCATGAAAGTGTGGCTACCACTCAGCGTTGCAAGATTTATTTTTAGTCAAGTCGGGATTTTGGCACTTTTAAAGTGAAAAAAGCGGGATTCATTTGTCGAAAGCCGGGACATAGTAAAAAAAATTAAATAATCAGAAGTTTTTAAATATTTAATATGTTTTAAATTGAGTTCAAATCACGTTTGCGTGACAATAGACAGCGAAAATAGTCACAGAAAATGTATTTAAATCAGATTAAACCTATCGTTAAATAGTTCTTATTCATCATCTGATTAAAAAACAAAAAATCAAAATAAAAAAAGTTTTATTTATTAGAAAAATATAGCGTTTCAAACAATACTCTGAAGAGTGAGTGTTTCAAATTGCAACTTACAATAAGACAGTAATTATTTATAAGAATTACTTATTCATAATATTTCTATGAAGATATAACTTCTTTAAAAGTTTCATTTTTCTCTTTAAAAAAGACGAAGAACTCTTCACAGGATAGCTGCAGATTAAACTTGATGAGTAACTCTGATTTCATTAAATTTACGAAGCATTTCAAAAAGAAGGCGTTTTGGAAAGCAGTTTGATGGTAGGATACTTAATATAAAGTTTGAAGATAATCCTGGTATATTTTTTGGATACTGTTGAAAGAGTTGGTACCATTATTGTGCGATGGTGGTAGTACACACTTCTTATTCCCGAAAAGCGGGACTAAGCCTGTCCGCGCGGGACATTTCATTTTGATTCAAAAATCGGGACGTCTGGCAACGCTGCTACCACTTAACTTCCAAAAGCGATTCCGATAGCGAACCCAAGCTTAATATTGAGTTTTGTACCATGTACAAGCCATTTAATTTAGCTCCAAATACGAAAGTATAAATTAAAAAAATCTTGAATTATCCTCCGAAGGTTTTTTTTTTCTGAAGCAAAAATTAGTTTCCAAGTATCACCGACTTTCACATTTAATTACAAGTTATTAAAATTGGAATCATAGTCATGCATAGAGTATTTCAAATTAATTTATAAAGTATTAATAATTGGGTGGTATTTTCAATGACTAATACCCTTATGACGTCAACCAACGACAAAATCAAACCTAGTGGTATAACTCAACCAAGACGAACTAGAAATTGCTTAAAATTTAGTATTTAAATTAGGATAGAGATTAGAATAGCCATTGAATTTACGTAGTAAGCTTGCTAGTTTGCTTGTGTAGTCCCGATTACAATCGGATACATTATTGTTACAAATGTGTATAACACACATACACACGTAATATAAGCCCACGAGACTGATTTATTTTGGTTCGCCTATTCGAAATGTCTAGATTCTAGAAAATATAGAACTTAGTAACAATGTGATCGTGATCAAACAAGTTATTCAAGAAAATATAACCTACTTTCAATAAATAGTTACGCGAATTAGTAAACCGTATAAGTGATTTTTCACGGTTGAGTGATAATTATATATTTGTGGAATAGATGACCACATTAAATAGTAATACATTTGTAATAGTCACTTAAATATCTAATTGGTAGGTGCTAAAAAAATTCATTTTATTTTAATTATATTTTGTGAATTTTGTCGATAAATGGTTATCTCTGCATTTGCATAAATACATCACAAAGCTTTTATTAATTATGTATATGTCAATATGTACATAATTTGTATCACTTACCAAACCTGAGTATGCATGTAAAGTAAAACAATTGAAAATTAATTGTATGATAGATATAAATAGATTACATATATCGAAAACAACCTCTTTCTCTGTTACAACTGGGATAAGAAAGATGAAAGATACTGTATATAGCCTAAAAAAACCTTTCACCATAAATTTACTAACACAAAAAAATTAAATCAGTGTTTCTGAGATTAGCTTGTTCTAACAAACAAACTGCCTCTTCAGTTTTATATTATTAGTACAGATATATTCAATATCTTAGGGTTAAAACATATCCATTATCCATATTATAAAAGAAAACACATAGACAATACACAAAGCCATAGACAAAAAGAAAAAGAAAATATTAATTAAACATAAAAAAAACTACAATGAATATTAAATATTTTAAAGAAAAAACTAAATTGACTGCTAAACAAAGTCAAGGTTTTCCTACTTAGGTAAGGTGGAAAATATTAACTAAATTATTAACTTACCCAATGTTCCATTGGAAGCCATGTTGACAGTTCAATGAATAATATGAAACTGATCTAGTAATAAAACAGCTGGGTTCAATACCACTTGACCTTTCACAGGGGTTCTGATAACAAAATTGAGAGACTTAATAGGGTTGGTTGCATAATTTCTTACATAGTAGGTATAATATGGAAAAAACAAACAACTGCGAAATTTGATCAATTTTGAAGCAATATATTATTATATTATAATCCTAATAATGTATTAAAAACTAGCTAAAATAAATTCAGTAAAGGTCAAATATTACAATTCCTAAAAAAGTTATCAACCAAATATGTCAACCATAACTATTTTTTCACAAGACATCCATATATATAAATAGTTTCATTAATAGGATTTATTTTATTTTTACTTATATAAATAACTGCTAGTGGCAACCCTGATATAAGAACATGATGAAAACACTGATGTAATCAGACATTATTTCAATAAGAAAAACAACAATAAGATAATATTAAATAAAATTTAACCTATACATACAAATAATGCAAAACAAGCCGAAGAGGACTTGTACATGATTTCATCAAATATTTTTATCCCAAAAACAAGACATTTTATAGATAGGTGGAATTATTTTTCAGAATTAATTTTTAGTTTTAAATATAGTGATGGTAACTCATAAAAATTAAAGTAAAAATACTGTTATATGTCTACAGTTAAAATGCCACTTATTACCACTAGAATCTTGTTAGAATTTCTCTGGTTAGAAACAAGTTTACTTTCATATTAAACTTAAGTAAAAGCGGTCTTGATAAATGTAGATTAACTTCTTACTTCTATTAGGATAAGTAACTACAGTAAATCTCACTTAAATTAATTTAAATTTAATAATAAATTATTTCTATACAGTAATTAATTTATCGGTACTAGTTTAGGACGTAGTGACGTACTATAGTACCTGACTTAAAAAATTAGGAACTTACGTAAATTGTTAAGGTTGTAAATAATCCGCATGTGTTTCTCATTACATACACTTCGCAGTTCGCACAGTTTAAAAAAAATACTTTTGTAAACGCGCCACTTTGTCCAACCACAGAGCAATATAAGATTTAGTTAACTTTCACTGACATAGATGACTCTACACGTAAAATTATTAAGTTGCCAATTCATTTTAGCTGTCAAAACGACAGTTTTTAATGTCTTATAACTTATTACTTATTCCCAATAATGAGTACATCGGTGCGGCTGTATGGGTTCCTTCATTCAAAACAGTATTGAGCTTTAAACTTCCTCCATTGACCTCCATTTTTTCAGGTGAAGCTTTTGCAATCCTAGAAGCGGTTTTGTATGCTGAGTCCCACAACCTAAATAAAGTTAAAATTTTTTCCGATTCTCGCAGCTGTTTACAGGGAATTCTTTCCAATCCATTCAGGTCTAAAAAAAACATAATACGATTCTAAAAATAAGAGAAGCTTTGTTTAGGTGTAGTAAAAAAGATATTCATATTGTACTTTTGTGGATACCTAGTCATTGTGGTATAGCGGGTAATGAAACTGCTGACTCTTGTGCAAAAGGTGCTATTTTCTGCGGATCTTGTCAGCATCCCAACATCTCGGCCCACGACCTATCAGCTCTTGCGTACTCCCACCTTTTAAAATCCTGGACTATTGATTGGCAATCTTCTAAAGTAAAAACTGGCAGGCACTATGCTAATATTCAGTATTCAATCCCTTCTTCGCCGTGGTTTTTTAAATATAAGTTTTTAAACAAAAAGGTCACGTCTATAATCTGCCGTCTTCGTATAGGGCACGCTTGTACTCCCGTTCATCTAGCCAAAATGAAAATTAAAGACAGTTCTCTCTGTGAGTGTGGTATGGACGACAGACCATATATTTTTTAACTGTTCTTTAATTAATGACTCGTTATTTGACCATCTTTCTTCAGATTTCCCTCGTCCATGTAACCTTAACTCCCTACTTTCCCTCCCATCCAGCTCGATCGTCAAAATTTTAGGGAAATTTATTTCTGTTAATAAATTAAAGTTATAAATAAGATTCTCCCCTCCATACCTTGTAGTAAAATGTTAACCTCTTGTATATATTATTAGATGTCTGTGTGTGTTGTATTTATTGTGATGTCATTTTTGTTTTGGGTAACTCTGCTTAGATAAAATTCAATCTATCAAAATTATCAAATCTATCCTCACTGTGTGAAGACTTAGAACGTGACATTGGCGTAAAGTGAAGTGAAGTGAAGTGAACTTACTATTTTATATTACTATTTATTAGTCTGTGTCTTGTGTAAACTTTATAACCATGTGTTTTTTATATTTCCTTTATTAAATAATTGTTTTAAACATTTTTCAGCTTAAATGTAAATTCGAACTAAAATATAAACATGTCATTACCTCAAGTACCAACTAAACCACCGGGTAAAAGTTGGCGCGATATAAATCAAGAGAGAAAAGCCTTAAAACGGCAACGAAATGAGGAAAAAATTGTAAAACGCGAAAAAAAAATGTTACTAGAGAAAGAACTAGAAGAGAAAGTCAAAGAAGAATGTGAAAAGGAAAAGAAGTATGCTGAGATTTCTACGGTCAGCATCGCCGTACCCGGTTCAATTTTAGAGAACGCTCAATCAGCAGAACTACGGACGTATTTAGCAGGCCAAATTGCCCGAGCTGCCTGTGTTTTTTCTGTCGATGAGGTGATCGTATTCGATGATATAGGCGATAAATTAAATACAAAAAAGTCAAAGTTAGAAGATGGTGATGGAGTTATAGTTGCGCGAAAAAGTTGTGTGCAGTTAGCTAGAATTTTACAGTACTTAGAATGTCCACAATATTTAAGAAAGCATTTCTTTCCAATCCATAAAGATTTAGAGTTTGCTGGTCTTTTAAACCCTTTGGATGCCCCTCATCATTTACGAATGTCTAATGACTTCAAATTTAGGTAAGATTGATCAATTCAATATGTAAACTTTACTTATCCATAATTACAAACCATTGTTGTGAATATCAATAAACTGTTATCTTAATTCCAGGGAAGGAATAACAATGAACAAAAAGGTTAAGCCAGGAAAAGGTTCCCAAGTCAATGTAGGACTGTTAAAAGATGTCTCAACTGATAAACTATTAAACCCAGGCATTAGAGTTACAGTTAAAATGTTACCAACTTCTGAAGGTGGTAAGAAATTAAAAGGAAAAATTGTAAGCCTGGCTACACCCCGCGCGGAGACTGGTGTATACTGGGGCTATACTGTTAGGATAGCTAATAACCTCAGTCAAGTGTTTACACAGTGCCCATATAAAGATGGGTAAGAAATTTTTACGTAGTTTATTCTAATACAAGAACTTATAAATTTAGAATTGTAGAGTTTTAATTAATCTGTAATGTGCGATATATCAGTATATCTATAACATTACATTTATAAGAATTAACAAATTTAACAATTGTAAAGTTTAAATATCATCATTTGAAAATAAGTATAATTTTAACTAAAGTTATCAAAATATATTCATCAGGTTTTAAATATTATAAACTAATTACCATTAAACATTTTAGATATGACCTTACTGTTGGAACATCAGACAAAGGAAATCCTATAGATGACATACCACACAAGGCAGTCACTTTTAACCATGCCTTAATTGTTTTTGGGGGCTTACATGGCATAGAAGCAGCACTTGAAAGTGATGAACAATTACAAGTTAATGATGCTAGCCTTCTCTTTAATCATTATGTCAATGTTTTACCTAATCAAGGCTCTAGAACCATACGAACAGAAGAAGCTATATTGATAGCACTAACTAGCCTTAAAGCCAAATTAAAACCTAACAATGCACCTATGGTTTTTAAAGAGGGTGGTATTGCAACTAGTTCAATTTATTCAATGCAGAAAAATTACAATTCTGCTGTTGCAGATAACAATGTAGATTTAAGCAAATTTGATTAAAACATATTTTTACAAAACTGTTTTTATTGTCATTTAATGGAAGACAATTTAGGTACTTAATGTGACATACAAGAACCCTGAGTACCCAGAAATATTAACAATATTCCATTGCATATGTCTTAAAGTTTCCATACCTTTGTTTCATTCTTACAAAATCCCTATATTAAATGTATATAAAAAATATATGTATAAAATATGCTTAAATTTAGTTTAAAATGTTACTGAGACATTGCTTGTTGTACTGTATCCCTAAGTTGTTTGATAGTAGCAGCTTGATCTTGAGCACCTATCACAGCTGTTCCAGAGACTATCATATTTGCTCCTGCCTGAAAACAATTTAGTTTTATAGTCTATACAAATTTGAGTATAAAGGGAACATAAGAAATTTTTCACTATTAGTTTCTATTTATAATAAATAATACATAAATATATTTGCCAACCTTAAATCTTAAGGGCATTTATTTACAAGATTAAGAAAGAAAATTTTAGAAATATTAACTTACATTAGCACAGCACCCAATAGTGGCAGGACCTACACCACCATCAACTTCAATATTTAACAGTGGATAATGCTCTCTTAAATGCCGAACCTTTATCATCTGATCTTCCATGAACTTCTGACCACCAAACCCTGGCTCTACGGTCATTATCAACACCATATCTGACATTGAAATGTATTTTTCAACATCTGACACAGGAGTACCAGGTTTGATTGCTAGGCCAACCTACACAGTGGAACTTAATTTATAACTAAATTATTAACAATAATCTATGATTAATAACAAATACCATCCTACCTTCATTCCACTTTCTTTTATTTTTCTACAAACTCTCTCAACATCATCCACTGGTTCAATGTGAAAGGTATACTGGTTGACACCAGCATCTGCCATTGGTGAAATCCACTGAAATTTTTTTGCAAACCACTTTATGACATGTTAAGTCTTAGGAGAAAGTGACACATATTTAGCCTGCCATCAAGAGAACCTAGCACGATAAAACCATTATTATTTTGTAGAAATAACCCCAAGATCTCTAGGTTTAATGGTATGTGTGTTACCACCAAGCTGGGGAAGTACATGGCCATTATTTTGTAAATCTTCAAACATGAAACCTGTTATAATAGCAATTTTGATAAAGTAACAAGAAAGTTATGTGCCTGTTAAAAAAATTCACTGCAACATGAGCCTGGGCCATGGGCAATTGTAAAATATTAGTACTGGCAATAGAAAGACATATAAAGCTTTCCTATTTTTTTGTTGTTGCGGTCTTTAACTGATCAAATCAACTGAAATATCTAAAAACTTACAGTTGAAAATAAATAAACATAAAAAGCAAATACTATTTTGTTATACCTGTTCAGGATTAGCCACCATCATATGGGTTTCAAAAAAGGCATCTTTAATTTTATTTCTGAGACACTTCACTACTGGGTGTCCAAAGGTAAGGTTAGGAACAAAATGGCCATCCATTACATCCAAATGCAAGTAATCAGCTCCATTATCTAAAAGTTTCTGAGATTCTTCGTAGAGTCTTGACAAATCGGAATTAAGAATAGATGGTCCAATTAAAGCTTTTAAATGTTTTGCCATATTTTATATTAATACAGTTTTCAGATATGTAATTTTATTTGAAGTATTATACTGTAATAATTATTAAAGTAATGATTGCACCTCGGTTCGTGTTTGTAGCCTGTAGGATGTTTTTCCAGGGTATTGATAATTGAATATTGATAGTAACTTGTTATCATTTGATAAGAAATGTCAATTACAATTTACAAATTACAGCTACGATTATGTCAATTGTCATAGATTAAGTCTCAATTTTTTATTCATAATTCATATACTGAAGTTAAAATCGTTTTCAGTTCTGTCTAATATTTTAAAAATTGTTAGCGCGATTCAGCGTTCGACTTTATTGCTCTGCTCACTAGTGCTGATTGTAGAAGTTTCAATTTAACACCTACACAGAATAAAGAATTGTTTAAAATATACTTAAATCATGGAAGTTTCATGTTTGATTTGGTTGATTTTCTAAATATCGATACTAGTTCAATATAATAATAACTAATAAAAGTTATCCGTACACTATTTAACCTTACATTTCCTTATTTAATAATTTTATATTATAAGATATTTCGATTCACAACTAATGCCATAACGATGTCAAAAATATTTGAAAAATAATAACTATAATACTTACTTAAATTTCTCCCAATTATTGCTATTTTTTCTTATATAATTTTACTTTACAATTTATAAAAAAGAAAAGTAGGTAACCTAAGATTCACGAAAACATCGGAGGTGGCGCCGTACAGTATTCGGATTTCGTTTTATTTTGTTATACAAAATGTTAAGCAATTAACGATAGATGTCACTGAACACACTATAAGAAATAACATGAACTAACTTGGCAATAGGAACTTCAAATATATAGGTCACTATTACGAATATCATATTTATGGGTTTAGACTTTAGGTAAGTGCAACTTGCAAGGAAGTTTAATTATTTATTAAATTAAAACTTCTCAAAATTCCCTACTTGGATGTATGGAAGACAACGTATTAAACATAACCACGTAATAGCATCATATAAAGTTGCATGGTACCTAGGTACAAATAATATAAAGAGGAAAGGTTTGTATATGTGTAACGAATAGGCTCCGATTAGATTTTTTTTTGTTCACAATTAGAACGACTAACCCATTTTGAAATGTGATCATTTCAAAAATATTTTGAAAAATTACTATCCACCCGTGTAAAGCCGGCTTATCTATTATATTTACATAAAATTTTAGAAATAACACACTAAGTCACTTACACAAGGTTTATTCCATATGACGCAAAGTATGTAAATTCATTAGGTATATACAAGAGACAAGTTATCGAAAAACTGGTTTCCAATTGAATGTTGCTATATAATCAGACATGTAATTTGTATAATTGTATGAATTCTGCAAGTAATGTAATAGTTATGTATGATAATGGCTGCCGCGACTTCGTTCAATTAAATGAGTATATTTAGAATAAATACATGAAATTTTCACTGATGTGATGTATCTCTATTTGACATATCGAACGACGTTCAGTTTCGCGGTCACTTGGAGGGAAAGGCTAAATTAGCCTCCAAAAAGCTAGGTGTGCTCAGCAAGGCGATGCGGTACTTCACTCCGGGCCACCGCATGCAACTATATAAAGCGCAAATTCGGCCCCACATGGAGTACTGCTCTCACCTCTGGGCGGGGGCTCCCCAGTACCAGCTCCTTCCACTTGACCGTATACAACGCAGAGCGGTTCGAATCGTCGACGACCAATCCCTCTCCGAGCGGCTTGATCCTTTAGCGTTGCGTAGAGATGTGGGGTCACTCTGCATCTTCTACCGCATTTACCATGGAGAGTGTTCAGAGGAGTTGTTCGGATTAATACCTGCAGCTGAGTTTCATCATCGGACGTCGAGACAGAATACGAAATTCCACCCGTATCACCTCGACGTCCGCCGTTCCACAACTGAGCGTTTTTCAAGGCAGTTTTTGCCGCGCACCACCACTATGTGGAATCAGCTGCCCACTGAAGTATTTCCGAACCAATTCGATTTAGGGTCCTTCAAGAAAAGAGCGTACCAATTCTTAAAAGGCCGGCAACGCGCGAGTGCGTGCGTGCCCTCTGGCATTGAGAGTAATCATCAGATTGGTAGTTCGTTCTGCAGAGGAAATGCAATACACGGTGGCTCATTAATATTGCTTAGTAAAAAAATAAAATTTAAAGAAAGGAAGGACATAGTGAGCCTCTCTGTGGAACGCCTTATAGAAGTATCTTGTGTGGAGCTGGAGCAATTTATCATTGTTAGTTTGTATAGCCCTCCTTCAGCTCAATATGATAGTTTAGAAAAAATATTGGAGCAGGTTCTGTACAAATTGCAAAAATCCAAGAAAAAATTGATCGTTAGTTGGAGACTTTAATGTAAATTTGCTTGACAACTGTAGTTCAAGTAAACGTTTGCTAAATCTGTTTAAATCATATAATTTAATTAATACTTTTATTGTACCAACTAGGGTAACAGCCACCACGGCAACATGTATTGACAATATCTATAGTAATATAGTTCCTCTCAACGCCTGTATTATCAACTAACTTACATCCGACCACTCTGGTCAATTGTTTGAATTTGAAATACTAAAATGTAAAGATCAAAAAAAGAAAATATGCACAATTCCTATAACAGAGGATCGGTTAGACAGATTTAGGAAAAATTTGGTATTTAAAATGCCATTTTTGCGTAGTAACCAATGCCCTAATAATTTATATAGCACATTCTTTGATTCATTTATTGGTGAATTCAAAAATGTGTTCACTCCAAAGACTTTTTTGGTCTCGGAGAAACCAACCTTTTGTGACTGGGCAACTCCGGAGCTACACAAAAAAAGGCTAAAATTGTATGAGTTGTATGATGAAAAACAGTATAATGACAGTGAAGAATTTAAAACTTATGTTAGGATATTCTCAAAAAGTTTTAGGCAAGAGTGTAGAATCGCTAAGGCGAAACACTTAAGTCTTAGAATAAACAACAGCTCTGATAATATAAAGGCTACTTGGAAAATTATAAACGAGGAGACTGGAAGAACCTCCAGAAAGGATACTGAATTTAAAGTGAATATAAACGGCAAAGTAATTAGTTCCGACCTCGAAGTAGCCTCTGCATTTGAAGAGTTTTTTACTAACATTCCTTTAAATACAACCAGCGTTTTAAATTCTTCACCATCAGCCGCCCTTTTATTATTGAAAAAGAATGTTCCTGTATGCAATCATAAGTTTGTATTTAGCCGCATTAGCTGCAATGACATTATAAAAACATTTAAACAGCTAAAAATTAAAAAAAACTAAAGATCTTTGGGGTGTATCTGTTTTCATTTTACAATCAGTAATCAATACTATCAGTTCAGAGTTGGCTATAATATTTAATGAATGTATAGATTGTGGAGTCTTTCCAGACCAGATGAAGATAAGTAAAATCACACCGTTATTCAAAACGGGCAGCACTTCGGACCCCACAAATTTTAGACCCATATCTGTGCTTTGCTTTGCTTTGAGTAAAATCTTTGAAAAAAACATTCTTGAACAATTATTGACACATTTTAATAATCATAAAATTATGCATAGCCAGCAGTATGGTTTTACAAGAGGTCGCTCCACAGCAGATGCTGGCATTCAATTAATTTCCGAGATTTTAAATGCTTGGGAAAATTCTCATGATGCCATTGGAGTTTTTTGCGACTTATCAAAGGCTTTTGACTGTGTCCATCACGAAATCCTAATCAAGAAACTTCAACACTATGGCATTGGCGAAAAAGCGCTAAATCTTGTGGAATCATACCTGAGCGATAGAATTCAAAAGGTAAATTAATTAATGGAGCTATATCACAGGGATCCTCTGTTACTATGGGAGTACCGCAAGGCTCCATACTTGGTCCCTTCTTATTCCTCGTCTATATAAATGACCTGCCATTTCTTGTAAAGGAGCTTCACGAGATAGTACTGTTTGCTGATGACACTTCGCTTTTATTTAAAATGAAACGACAAAATCCATCACTTGATAACGTAAACAGTGCCATCTCCAGTGTAGTTCACTGGTTTAATACAAATAATCTTAAGTTAAACGAAAAGAAGACAAAATGTGTTAAATTTGTAACTACAAATGTAAAAAGTAGTCATTCTCAAATAATAATTAAAGACGAGGAAATAGACTTTGTTGATAGTGCAGTATTCTTGGGAATTACTTTAGATAGTAAACTCCAGTGGGGCCGACTTATAGAAGGTCTTTCGAATAGGCTAAGTTCCGCAGCGTTCGCTGTAAAAAAGATACGCGATCTTACGGATGAGAACACAGCAAAGCTTGTTTATTTCAGCTATTTTCATAGTATTATGTCATATGGTGTTATTTTGTGGGGTAATGCAGCTGACATTAAATCGATATTTGTAGTGCAAAAGCGGGCTATAAGAGCGATCTGTGGGTTGTCCCCACGGGAGTCGGTCCGAAGCAAATTTAAGGAATTACATATTTTGACTCTGGCAAGTCAATACATTTATGAGAATATTTTGTATGTGCGGAAAAATATAGATATCTTTAAAAAGAATAGTAGCTTCCATAATTATAGTACTCGTAATAAAGACAAAATTAGCGCACCAACCAGAAGGCTGCATAAAACGAGTAATTCTTTCCAAGGCAATTGTATACGTTTTTTCAACAAAATCCCTAGTGAGATACAAGCGTTGTCAATAAATAAATTTAAATCGTACATTAAAGTAAAACTGCTGGCTAAGGCTTATTATAATATAAATGAATATTTAAACGATCCTAGTGCTTGGATATGAGTTGCTCCAGTATATATTATAGGTAACACGACTGAATCTCTCGGCTGCATTTCCAGACTCTGGGGTGATCGTCAACATCCACGACTGTTTTAATGTAAAGTGGGAACAAACCGTGATCCATGTGGTATCCAATTATTTCAGTATTATTATTATTTTCTTATGTAGCCAAGTCCACATTTCAAGGATCGTCATGCTCGCTTAAATGTCATTGCTTGTGGCGGCGTC